TTCTCCCTTTTTCGTAATTTTAATAGCGCTCAAAATTATTCCCCTCACACAACATGAAGATGATATAGCTTGAAACGAACATACTTATCACAAAAACCTTATTAAAACGCTACATAGACAAGCATTTCACGGTTCCTTGAACACAAAGATCAAAGCAGCAGGAGCGACCACGCAGAAATATTCATATCTGAGAGATGATTTCGGCACCTGAGACGGGGGGTTCATCACATATCTCATCTGAAGATCTTCAGGTAGACTGTTTTGTTAAAATATACGTGCATTTTTTATAGGTTAAACATTTGCTTTTTACCCCAATCTGTACAAAGCAGAAAACTCGAAATTTTTAAACTAGTTGTCATATAACCGCAATAAGATCGTTTTGGGATGACAAATGAGGGAAATTATTTTAATAATTTTATTAATGTTTACAATGAATATTGTTCATAGGAAGACACGTTATCGAGAATGGTGATTTAGATTTTCTGAATGAGAAGATTTAGATACGGTTGGAGCCACGTACCCCATGGCAGGATGGGCAACTGTGCGAAATGAAATCACAGTAATAAATAGGCATACATTTAGTTCACTTGTCACATACGTACATATTGTACCATTTATTATCAATATATATATATGTGTATATATCTTTTATATATAATTTTCGGATGTTAGTAAAGCATATCACCAAAGCTTTCGTCAACAGGACATGCCAGAGTAAAGCAATGAATCCATTGCGAGACCAGACGTTTCCTCTGCAGAACCCAGTTTGCAAGCATTATTTCATCGTCGGAAACCGACGAGACTTAACGGCAGAAGAGAGTCTCGTGGGTTTCCGACGGTGGCATTGTCTAAACTTACCACTTCGTCTCTCAGTTGATGTAGCAGAATATCCATAATTGTACTCATCTAGGAATCCCATGGGGCAACAGACAGTTCAGGCTCGGCACCCGTGAGGGGTCAGAAGGAGACACAATACTTTTTAGTCCTTAACAACAGGGTCCCATCCAAATGAACTTGTTTTTCGAAGGTGTTTCACTTCTCCAACCTGTAATCAAGTTGATCCATCAAACATCTGCATGTATACAGCGTGTAGCGGCGGGTCCGTTAGGGTACATGTATTGTTGTTATGTAACATGAATAGTTCCAAGTCTCGAAGGCTTTTGTCAATGGCTCTTTCACCCGAAATTAATGACAGCTGCGTGTCAGACACCAATATATTATACCCTTACAGGAGAAAGCAAGTATATACTATTTATCCACTTAAATCCCACTTGTCATTATTTACATTTATAAAAATACAGAACATGGCAGTTTACATTAATGTCGCATGCTAATAATGAAATTCTCCCATGTAAAATCACAGAATGGCTTAACGCTCTCAGCAATACATCATGGCGTACTGCATGCGTCCCGAGGGGCCATCCCGAGGACCAATTAAAATACTTATGAACTCTATTTTGTCCTGACCAGAATACATTATAGAAGTTCCTATGTAAATAAACATCTACAGACATCCCCTCAACGTGTGGATGTTAAGTTGTTTAACGCTCCACTTGGGGATAGCCATTTCGCACCCGTCATTTAGTTCTTCAAGAGCAGTATTCACGTTTAAATCCATCACCCTTTATAGTAGCATTCTGATGAGATTTAATCCCAAACTCGCGATGTTCTTTTATATATTGACAGTGAATTTGACCAAACATTTCATTGAAAATAAATGTTTGTGTTAGTTAAACCCTGAATGGACTCATCGCTGTTTGAAATTGATTTTCTTTCCTTGTTTTGTCTGGTAAATAGAAATGTACTTAAATGTGTATAGCTTACAACGGCACCGGTAAAGATTTGAGATTTGTGTGAACAAATGTGATTTTCGTGTGACTAGATTTCAGGAATTCAATAGACTTTGAAGGCAGTAGTAATCTACGATGAATGATTCTGGTCAATGACAGGTGTTTAAGGATGCATGTTCCTTACTAAAACATGTATATCCATCACTAGAGAGTTCCAAGTACATTGCCATATATGAAATAAATATTAAAGAAATTACCTAATTGGTGACATTTTTAAAGATTACAAGCAGGTAAGCATATTTAAAAGAGTTTACGTACAAACATGTGAATGAATTTTCTGTTAGTTTTGATTGATCATCCGAGCTCGTATCCAACAGAATTTGCTCTTTCATTATTCTAAATATTCTCCCATCTTACGTTTAGAAGCGAGTCTGTAATCGTTAAATATCTTAATTTTCACTCCATGTGTGTGCGCTTGTTATTTTATGAAATCACTTTTGAAATAGATAGAATCTAAAAAATTACGTTCCCTGTGTTTTCAAGTTACCTTAATTTATTCCCCGTTATTTACACCAACGCCACACTGACTTTGGAAGGCACACATTCAATGATCCTACCAATCGCTCGTAAATGAACGAGGTAAGGTAGGAAGGGAGGTAAGTCGTTGTAAACAACGTTTTGTTGCTTAAGCAAAGTGGCTTTATTTTCTTGTGTTAAACATGTATGACAATCCACCTGTGATGTTTTAATATCCGTCTGATAAGCTGCGGATAGCAAACACTTATACTTTAAATTGATGATATGGCGTTTGTGCACCTGTCACCCCAAGGTTCCACATAATTCATCGAAAATGAAATTACAGATCTTAGCTTAAAGTTTACGACAACTTGTGCCGGAGGGGTCGAACATGCAACCTAGGATAACACAACTAACGTTTTACTAACTGTGATATAAACCCTGATAAAAAAATCATCCATATTTTGATTCTAAATTCCAGATGGAAAGCATGAACTCTGAACAGTTGGTTCATTTAACTTTTAAGGTTTTTCGATGTAAGTGAAAATTTAAGCTTGAGGATAGGATTAAAGTTATCTGATCATATACCTTCAGTATTAAAAGCAACGCCTAAATGTCTAAAGTATGACAATCACAGATTTTAAAAACAAGTTACGATTCTTCTATTTCAGAAACACATTGAAATCTGGTTACATTTGTGATGAAAATAAATTCTGAATTACTGGGATTAAAACAGGATGCCCATGATTTTTCGGTTTCTTGAAGTTGCTGTATTTATTTACGATAATTTGCATCTAAACAAAATTGAATGTATTCATAAATGAAGAACTGTGTCGTCCGTTATAAATAAACAATTACAGGTGGACCAAAGACGGAAGCCGGTAAATTCAGCTTTTATAAAACCACAGACAGACAATAAATTTGAAATAAATAGTTTTCTAACCATGTCAGCAATTTATTTGTCAGACCAGGAACGTATCATGTTACATTCTATTACGTCACTTGTTTTATGATAAAATGCTTACTTTATTAAGTATATTACAGAAATAAGGATCCTTTATGCAAAATACTATCAAGTATTTATTCAATTGACTAAGTGATTGGCCTGGTATGAACCTGATTGGCCCTTGCAGAAAAAATATTGTTCTAAAGCATCCAGCTTTGTCTCGCAGGTACTTTGTTGAGTATCCCATCTGAAAGGCACTAATATAAATCGATTTATTGATATCCATAATTTCCTTTCAAATATTTATATACTTCATTTCTGGATATTCATAATTCATTTCGAGATATTCATAATTCATTTCTATATATCCATAATTCATTTCTATATATCCATAATTCATTTCTACATATTCATAATTCATTTACATAATTTAAAAAAAAAAGATGGCTGCCACATAATATAGTTTCCACCAGTGGCACTAGCAGGCTTCCGTATTTACATGTGTACAATATGGTGTTTTGAATAAGACAAAGAGCGATTTTGAAAGTTATAACTACAAGTAACTGCATGAAAAATTTTACACCATGGGTAATTTTCAAATCGAAATTATCACGGAATTAAATGTACATATATCAAAGCCCGTGTTATCATCATGTTAATCATGGTGAAAATGTGTACGATACACTGAAAAAGACCAAGCTTCAAAATGAATGCAACAGATATTTAATGAGACGACTTTGCGGGCACCTTGCGCTAAATCTAAATATGATACATTACATTACAAGAGACTTATCACTGTGTTTTCCTTTTGTAAAACTTCGGTACCTTTATAAAGTCACACGAAATGTGTATCCATACACCATGATTTCTAAGATAAATGTATGATTGATTTTGTACTATACTGTAATCCAGACACTTGTTTGAAAATTTGCGCTTTAATAACATTATAATCGGAAACACTGAAATGATAGTAAGAAGTAGAATAGGATGACGTGTATAAAGTTCCGGAAAGCAATGCACTAGGCCTAGTTATTCAACAATTTTATATTTATATTTTTTTTATTTATCAAAAATATTAGATATTTATTTTCAATCTTAGTTTTGTAATTTTGTCCGACATACTATATGCACGGATATTTATACGTGTAAGCCCGAGCTTTTTCTTCCTATGGAAGCTACGCCCCTGACATTATAAAATTTTCGTCGTTTTTAGGGAAATTTCTATTCGTAGGTTATTTGACCACGGACTTGGGTATATCAAAGTCCGTGAATGTATCATTAATGCATTTTCAGAGTAGGGGATATTCTTTTATAATGTTTTTTACACATAGAAGAAAGAGCGAGTTGTCCACAAAGAATTTATTTCTACTATTCTATAAGTTGTTGAAACAAAAGTGGACGACAAAAATCATTAAACTCAACTGGGTTAAATACATATCATTTTGCACTACATTTTTGTATCTTACTGAAGAAGATTTTAGTTCATATAATAATGTATCAGGTCGCATTAACACTAAATACAAATTAATCTACTTCCTTTACCAGAGACATCGACGGGTATATATAACACAAATACGTCTCTGTTTTACGCTTCATTTTTAAACAAAGATTATTGAATGAAATGAATCAATTCGCACTGGGTCTATTCGATAAAGTATACATTTTCCTAAAACACCGTGCAATCCCGCCAAAATCGCAGTCCCTGAGACGCTTTTAATCTCCGAAACGAGGCGCGCATCCATTAGTCAATTCGTTCGAAGACATTTCGCACATTTGTTTCTTCTGATATTGTGACGGTAAGTTATCATTAAGAGAAATGCAACTCACAGAAACTATTATCTGTAACAACGTATTCGATTATATGGAAGAAATTATATGCTGGTGAAATTTTGTCGCTATAAGTGCTATATGTCGTACTTGGCGAATGGACCTTGCCGTTACACGAGTTGACTTTCCGCGATTGACAGTCAAATCGGGCATGTTTATGTTTTTATGAGTGTTATGTTGAATTTGTCTCGCGAAATAAATCTTTTTGGACGTTATTGCAATGTTGACAATACTTTAAAGGGATGTTACTGGATATCAGAAGTTTGAATTGATCCATCAAGTAACTTGCCATAAAAAATGATAAGCGTAGGCAGATATATACAGATGACAAAGCTGGTTAATCAATAATAACAATCATAGCTAGGTTAGTATACTGTAGACTTGAATTGTTTTTTTTCTCCATCCGATATGGTAAATATCTCTTTATTATACACAGAATCGCTCATTGTTCGTGTATATAAAACAAGTCTTGCTTTCTAAACTAATTGTTGTGGAAGTGGGAACACTCCTTGTTTAGAAGTAATCATTTTTACATGAGTTGCCCTTCGCTCGGCGGTATTGTAGATATTCCTTGATGCAGGATAATTTAATGACCTCCCTTGATTAAGTTATAACCAGAAATCTGTGTCTCGTGTGACAAATATAGTGTGTTGCAGTACCCACTGTATTACATATTATACTAATATACTTCTGTTTTCAAAATAGGAGATAATTCCCATTTGTTAATGTTACTAGTCAAGTGTGTAATATGAAGGAATAGGCGATACAAAATGACATATCCCTTAATAGTGCTCAAACTTGCAACCTTTTGCAGTAAAGATCAATTTCACCTGCTACTCAAAAAAATTATACAGCTAATCAGCTTTTGAAAACTTGTGTGATGAATTCCAAGGTGTTTGGTTTGATCCTTGGTAATTTGCGCTTTGTTTATGTCTTGAGAAATTATGGATCATTCAGTGCTGTCATGATTGGGCAAAACACTTTAATGTATCCAAATGGGACCATACTTTCGGAGCTGTTTTGTGTATCCAATGGGAGGATGTTTCAATCCTACTACTGTTGTTGTTCAGTAATAAATGGCCATTTGTTACTAACAGGAGAGTCTGAGACCCAGCTCAGTTGTTCACCCTGGTTATTCATTGCATAAAAACCCAGTGATTACAAGCTAACAAATCTGTGTATAGACAACTTGAATTGAGGCTTCATTTGGTTTTAATTTGGTTGACAATGATTCCATCGGCATCTAAATAGAAATTTATATGATTTATGAAATATCGATCAAGAATAATTTGGTGAATCATGTATATATAATTGGAGGAGTTAAATTCTAATAATCATAATCATGGCAATTACCGAAAATTTTAATTCACCTATACACAGTCATTTGACTAAATACAGTACCCCAAATTAATTTGAGTAAAACAAACTAGATGAGATTTAATTGTTTGCTATATACTTTTTGTGTTGTGTTTTACAGAAACTAAAACAGGCTATAGTTATTGATAGAAAATGGAGGCTGAAGCTTCAACAGAGGTAAGTATCGTATTGCCTCTATTTTGTATCGGGCATTTGGAGAGATTCTCCAATAGCTTAAGTTGTAATTGACAGCTGACATATGTTGATCTAATATGGCCACTTCTAACAAACTGTGGTACATATGGCAAAAGCTACTGTGAATTTATTTTGCAGACTTAAATTTCTTCTTTACACAATGACAAGTCATTTGAGTATATGGTACCTTATATGTAAAGCCGATGCACTATTAAACTACAATCAGCTACAAAGTTTTAGCTTTACTAGCCTGAAACATAAATTTTATAAACTGTTAACCTGTTCTTTGTATGACAATATTGATGAAAAACATTTTATGGCAGCCTTTGTAAATGTGCATATTTATGTAATATATAAAGGTCCAATCTCTGATTGCCAAGGCATTTGAGGCAAGTGGCAGTAATTCTAACACTCCAGCAGAGTGCAGCACAGAAGAGCAGTACCTAGTAATACCACCGGAACATGTCAATGAAGAAGTGTAAGTGTATATCTATATATTGTTATACCGAAGAGAAATGTATGTCATGATATTGTATTTTAACATCAAGCTAGGTCTAGTACATTTATGGTACATGACTACAGTATCATGACTGTCTTCAATCTTCATATTTTCTTTGGGACACTCCTATACTAACTGTAGCTGGCATAGCAAAAGAAAGAGTGATTATCATTTTCTGATGAAATTTATTTTATCCATTTGTAAATTGAACAAACTTTTTTATGTATTCAGTCTCAGTGAAAGGTCATTATCAGTTATCTGTGATCATGATTTTAGGTCAAGGTCACAGCTAATATATATTGCAAAATCTTTTCATGATGATATTCGAAGTAGAATATTTGGCATGTCCCTATGTTCCATGAAACTTCATGCAAATATTACTGCTTTTGTTCTTTTGAAATAGTTGAAGGTCAGCTTCATTCATGTACATTGTAGGTCAAGGTCGTGGCTGCATAATCTTCATGGTGATTGTGAAATAAGAGAGGTGGCTTTGAATTAAGTTCATAAATCTTTCTTTGAATATTTATTACTGACTTCAATTTCTCTATATTAGAAGCTATACAGACTTTCAAATGGTAATAACTAATGTAGTTGACATCTGAGTGTAGGACTTCTGTGACCATGAGAACTATATATGTATATGTATGGTTTGTTTTCTTCCAGTATTGTGATAGATACAACAGCTACAGATGCTCACCGTGTTACTCGAATTAAAGTAGGCAACCAAGAATTCAACGTCACCAAAGTAGAGCCACAAAGAGAAGAAGATGAAAGCACTGCCCAACCCATGGACTGCAGTATTTCTAGTGAAAATGGTGGTGGTGGTGAAGAAATGGAAGCAGCATCGTCAATTATGGCAATACAGTAAGTTATCAGCTTTTGTGATTGGATGATATCACCCATCTAGAAAGTTTGTAAGGTTCTTCTGACATGCTTATGTCATTATACAATACTTGCATTGTTTACAGAGTTCATTTTTATGTTGTTTGTTCTTGTAAAAAAAATGCTTATTAATTGCACTAAAGTGCCATTTTATGCTGAAATGTACATCATTATAAGGCTGTTTAAACACATACACTAGCCTCTTAAGTTCTCCACTTCTCCTGAAACCACAAAAATGTAAATCTAATGAAAAAAAAATGCATAAATTCTTCAGTGTTTGAGCCTCTGCTGATGAACATACTATTTTCATGTAATACTAATTGATTCTCAGTCTTTACTTTGCAGTCTTAAAGTTGTACTTTCCTCCCTTGTAGAGCAGCATCATACACTAAACCTTTGACATTTGAAGTGATTGAGTCTGCATCACAGCGGGGCCTTCCTAAGCTGATGGATAGCTTTGGATATGGCTACACACTACGACGCACTTCAAATGTGAAGTCAAGAGGGAGATACAAGGTGAGTGTTCTACTGCAGATTTGAATAATAAATACCAATTGTTTTCAAGGAAAGTATCATTCCTAAAAATAAAGTTGTGATTCTAATAGGTCGCAGGATTAGATCTAGAGTTTTCTTCTAAAAATCAATTACAGGGGAAAAAGGCCAACTTGAAAAGAATGTACTGGCGTTGTGCTGTGAGAGGGAAACAATACAGCTGTGGGGCTGGTGTGATTCAGGAGGGTGATGATGTTTTTATTCGTAACGACCAGCAACATGGACACTTGCCAAAACCAGATGGTGTCCAGCAGGTCAAGATCAGGAAACAGGTAATTTTCCTTATTCATTGTTTTTTGGCTCACCTTCATCAGATGATAGGCTATTCAAATTGTCCTATGTCTTTGGTCTGTCATCCATCTTGTTAGCACTATTTTTTGAAAAATACTGTAAAATTTTATATACAGGTCTCCTGATTACTAGTTGTGCTGTTTTGATTTTGGAAGTAATCAAGAAAAAAATGGCTCACAGGTGGCCATCTTGGATTTTAACAATGAAAGTTTGTTATTGCTGCTTCTTGGAAAATACTTGACGTTTTTTTTTTCCAGATTTCATATTATGTAGGTTCTCTTTGGTCCATAATTGCCATCAGGCATTCATCAGGTAATTAGAGTAAAGGTTATAAAACCAGATAATAAGTCTTAAGGTCATCAAACCAGGTAATAAGTCTTAAGGTCATCAGACCAGGTAATAAGTCTTAAGGTCATCAGACCAGGTAATAAGTTTAAGGTCATCAAACCAGGTAATAAGTCTTAAGGTCATCAGACCAGGTAATAAGTTTAAGGTCATCAAACCAGGTAATAAGTCTTAAGGTCATCAGACCAGGTAATAAGTTTAAGGTCATCAAACCAGGTAATAAGTCTTAAGGTCATCAGACCAGGTAATAAGTTTAAGGTCATCAAACCAGGTAATAAGTCTAGGTCATCAAACCAGATAATAAGTCTTAAGGTCATCAAACTAGGTAATAAGAAAAAAGGGCATCAAACTAGGTAATAAGTCTTAAGGTCATCAAGCAGGTAATAAGTCTCAAGGTCATCAAACCAGGTGATAAGTCTTAAGGTCATCAAACCAGATAATAAGTCTTAAGGTCATCAAACTAGGTAATAAGACAAAAGGGCATCAAACCAGGTAATAAGTCTTAAGGTCATCAAGCAGGTAATAAGTCTCAAGGTCATCAAGCAGGTAATAAGTCTCAAGGTCATCAGACCAGGTAATAAGTCTAAATAGTCCTCAAACTTGTTAATAAGTCTTAAGGTCATCAAACCAGGTAATAAGTCTTAAGGTCATCAAGCAGGTAATAAGTCTCAAGGTCATCAAGCAGGTAATAAGACAAAAGGGCATCAAACCAGGTAATATGTCTATAGGTCATCAAACTAGGTAATAAGTCTAAAGGTCATCAAACCAGGTAATAAGTCTTAAGGTCATCAAACCAGGTAATATGTCTATAGGTCATCAAACTAGGTAATAAGTCTTAAGGTCATCAAACCAGGTAATGAGTCTAAATAGTCCTCAAACTAGGTTAGAGACTGAAAGTCAGCAAACAGGGTTAAAGAACTGAAGCTGAAGATAAATGTAATAGGAATAAAAGTCACATGTGCCCATAAAAGTATTGGAAGTTTATGGAATCAGGTAATAGGTCTTAACAGCAGACTAAGGGCTCAAGTTCCAGGTTATAAGACTATTAGTTTATTGAGCCTGGTTATAGAGTTGTAAATAGATCTAATGTTATAGTTCAATGAACTTCATTGAGGCAAGTTTGTAGAACTTTAATTCATTCATGAATGTTGTCACACAGGTAAAGTTGCTGGCCCAACAAAACATCTTGGATACTGGTCCAGCCCTAGTCAATTCTGTGTTGCTGGACAATGCTGAGGGAGACGAAACAGAGTGCAGTCGATCTATCCATTCAAACCTTGTGCGGACAGCCAACCGTATCAGAGAGAAGATGAAAGAAAAAGCGGAAATTACTGTAAGTTTTTTCCCTCTAAAATTACTTGTATAAATTCCATGGCTGCAATCCAATGGAGTAGGGTGAAATTTTGCATTTCTAGTTCACCTGACCCAAAGAGCCAAGTGAGATTATGTCAAGGTGTGTCGTCCGTCTGTTAACTTTTCACTTAAAACAATTTCTCAATAATGAAAAGGCCCAGGGTACTGATATTGGGCCTGTAACATGCTGGGCTGAATGGCTATCTAGTTGATTAAATTAATGACCATGACCCAACTTTCAAGGTCACAGAGGTCAAATGTATGAAAATCTTCAAACAACTTCTATTCAGTAACAGATAGGCTAAGGGTATTGATATTAGGCCTGCAGCATACTGGGATGAAGGGCTACCAAGTTTGTTTAAATGAATGACCTTGACCCTCTTTCAATGTCACAGGGGTCAAACACGTTTAAAAAAGCTTCAAACAACTTCTTGGTAAAGTAAATGCCATTGGTAATGATATTGGGCCTTTAGCATACTGGGAAAAAGGACTACCAAGTGTGTTCAAATGAATGACCTTGACCCACTTTCAATGTGATTTTCTCAATTTACCCCATTCTCCACCTTATGATAAACAGATGCATTGTATATATTGGTTTATAGTGAGGATTGGCCTTGTACTCCATCCAGTCTTCCCTCTGAAATCTTCAAATAATTCCAGGACCATAACATTACTATTGAAACCTTTATACTGTACTATTAAGTGAAGTCAATGATCATGCTTTCAGATTTGCTATCCACACAGGGAACCCTATCTTCATGCTTTGCTGATGGTGTCATTTCACTAAATCACTACAGTATTACTAATTCCAATGTATGCCCTTGTCAACCAGCATTGGTCAAATAGGTTGAAAATATTTATAACAACTTATTCTAAGTAACCAGAAAACCTTAAAGATATGATGGTTTCCAAATTTGTTCAACTGTACAACCTTGTTAAACTTTCAACATCAGAAGGTAAACTGTTTTAAATTCTTAACAGGTTGTTGTAACTTGTTCAGTCACCTTTTAATGTTACACAACTTCATGTCAATTAACAAACAGGTGAGCGATGCAGGCCCAGTGGCCGTCTTAAATTGACATTCATGATTTAAATACATATCGTGAATGAGCTGAATATGATTGTAGCTTTTTTTGGTTAAAATATGGTAGATTTGACCTGGGTGTGGGGCAGTCATTATGCAAGAATCAAGCAAAGAAAACTCAACTTAGTTAATAGATCACAGAATATTCAGTCAAGCAACTCCTTTAAAATGATGAATAGTTTGTATATTGTTAATGGTGTGTTTTGTAGGAAATACTGGTTTCATTTTTCAATAAGACCAGGGAAGAAGGGAAACAAGACATTACTTAATTTTAAAATATCCAAATTTAACGACAACTACATGTATAGACATTATGTATAATATCAAAATGTGTTTCTTTCTAGATATAACACATTTAATAAGGTTGTAATCATATTTTGTAGTGTCTTTTGAAAACTTTGATGTGTTTTTCATGTTGTACAGGTGGAGTCCCTGTTGCAAAATGTATTCCAGTATTTTCAAAATGAGGAGAGAGCAGGCGCTGTCAGTAACTTGAATAACCCCATGAAGAGATTAAGTGAAGCATCTGGTAAATTACAAATTAGACAAAAGTATTATTAACTTCAAATTCTAAGTATACTTTCCATAATATTTCTGAATTCTTGAAATATCTCTTGATAAAATTAAACTGATACATTTTATCTGTTTTAGGTATGCCAACTCGAACATTGAGGAAGAAATTAGGTCTTGTGAACGAAAAAGAAATAGCTATTAAACGTGAGTTATTTTTCTGGTAAAATGTATTAAGATTAAAAAAAATCTTGCCTCGCCCCACACAAAATGTATTGGGCTGATATGATAATGAATAATCTGTTCGTTTTTCATTGAACTTTGAAGAATAACTTCAAATCTATTACTCTAAAATTAAACTTGTATTTTTCTATAATAGGGAATTTCAGATATGTTTGAATAGATTACATATGAACGAATATCGATCATTTCTAATATACTGTATCAACTACACTTACCAATAACAGAAGATCTCTTGAGATGAAAGAGTAAGATAGAAAAACTTGTCACAATTCCAGATTTTGGATTGAAGTTCCTTTTGGTAGGGTGTAGTAGTGTAGCACTCTGTAATTAATTCCATACAAACACATTCTTTGTTGATTATGAACCTGACTTTGTATATTGGGTATGGTGATCACTTTGTCATTGTGTCCATCCTTAAATTGTGCATGAGATATTTATGAACTGAATAACTAACTTAAATAAGAATTTCTCCACAGTGTATAACATCAAGTTGTCCACAATTTTTTTTCCATACCACATATCGGCCTTTCTTGTACACAGGTTTTCTACGATTTTTTCCTTGTCGCTAATCAACTGTTCTTGTACACAGGTTGTCCTCAATTTTTTTCCTATACCACTTATCAGCCTTTCTTGTACGCATGGTGTCCATAATTTTATCCCATACAACTATGCAGCCTTTCTTGTACACAGGTTGTCTGCAATTTTTTCTGTACCACTAATCAGCCATTCTTTTGCTCACATTGTTCACAATTTTGTTCAAATTTTTCATACCACCAAGAAACCCTTCTTGTACATTGATTATCTTCAGTGTTTTCCTTTAATAGATTTTGTGTAATTAAAATATCAGGTTGTGTCGGAGGTGAAGTAAAAAAAACACAGGCAGAATCAGGCAACTCGACAGAAGATGCCATTATAGATGTTCTAGAGGATTTGGAGAAAAAGAAAGTGAATTTTACTACAGTGAATGTAAGGTCTGCTCTTAGAATGAAATATCCAGCACTAAGCATATCACAGGTTGTGCTTGGACGAACTCTTCGAAAACTTGGATATCAGTAAGTTTGAAGCATGTTAGCAACACATCATGTTCTTGACACATGCATCTTATCTGAATACTGTCAGTGATAGCTGGGTAACTAATTCACTCAAACTTATCCAACCTGTTGGTCATAAAATGTTGCATTCATTGGAACGGTCCTCTTATAAACTGCTTATTTTACTTTCTCAAAAACTGATCTTGTTTTAAACAGAAGTATTACAGCTTGTACCTAGATGTTATATTTAAAAACTGTTTCTTGATCGTTGGGCCAAGCCCCCATGTCTTGAAACAAACTTTATACATCACTTAACAGCTGAAGGAAGGCATTGGAGAGATGTATACTGATTTTTTTTGGTAGCTAGGAATTATTGATTTTGATGATGGTTAAACACGTTTTCTTTATTTTTGTTTATTGACTCTTTCAGAACAAGAAATACACACATATTTGATTTGGAACTTGAGAAAAAATCTGTAGTAAGTATTCATTAAAATTTACAATGTATATACAATCAATCTATTTCTTAATTTCTTGTGTCGAATAAGTTTGAATGTATTATAACCACAGGGCTCCTGGTTCTGTGTGAGTATAAGAGGAAGGCACAAACACAGCGGTATTAGAAATCCTCCTCTAGTGGAAACACAATTATCCATGAATATCATTTAGTGAAAAGTCTGATAAGATGTTGTGAACCATACAGACTCTCAAGACCTGGAGCTATCCACTTTTCACCAATAGATCTCCTCTTCTGATTATTGTAAATTTTGCTGTTAGTTAAACAAAGAGCTTTCCTTTGTTTACGAGATATCCAGTGATAACAAAAAGGTAGAAATAGAAATTGTGTAATGTTGATGGCAATGTATTTGGTAAGCGACATGATCATTCAGCAAGACAGGTTTTGTTTGTCACCTGCTAGGTTCGTAATCCAAACAGTTATGTCGAGCCCTGACAGAAAGAAAATTAATGAGTTTAATAAAACTAATCGGAACTGAATATGTGAATTTTTAAGAAAATATTATTAACAGGTTGACAATCTGTAACATCTCTTTAAGACAAAGCCTCAAATTAAATAACATTTTGTTACAAAAGGTCGGCCCCTGTCAGTGATAAAAACATAACAAGTACGTTCTTTTAAATTTTAGTATGTATTATGTTTCTGTTTCAGGTAGTGCATAAAAAACCTGAAGTTATCAAATTGGTGAGAAACACATGAGCACCTCAAATACCTGACTGTGTACACCTTGATGAACCTTGATTTACATTCTAATTAGGATCATGTGAATAATCTTCTTAACTCCATTACAATAAACAGTTATACATTTAGTATACTAAGAATCTTGAGAATGATGAAACTTTTTCAGACAGTGACTGGTAATTTTGAAAAATTCGTACTCAGAGTGGGAGATGTGTGCAATAAACATAATGGAGATGAATTGACCTATTAGTGGGAGAGTTGTGTATACAAATTTTGAGTAATGTCGAAGTACTCATATCGTAGACATGAAGAAGAAAGTCTTGTGGAGTTGCTGAAATGTAACTGTATTCACATCTGGACATGAATTGTATGCAGTGAGTCGTGTCAAGGTGCTATAACATTATTACATTCACACATCTAGAAGTGTGTTATGAAGTGTCTTGTGATATGAAGTAAATTAAGTAGAGATGCTGAAATGTGACAGTATTCACATCTAGACATGTGTTGTATGCAGTAAGTCTTGTGGAGGTTCTATAACATTATAATGTACACACATCTAGATGTGTGATATGAAGTGTGTCTTAGGGATGTGCTGAAATGTAAACATACTCAAGTGAAGACATGTGTCTTGAAGTAAATTTGGTGGAGATGCTGAAATGTAAAGATACTCAAGTGTAGATATGTGTCTTGAAGTCAATTTGATGGAGATGCTGAAATGTAAACATACTTGCATACAGCTGTGGGTGTATGAAGAGAGTCTTATGGAATTAACTCCATCTACAGGAACATTTGGAGATGCCCTTATTCCATTGAGTGCAACTTTTCTTCTGCTTATCTTTAGATCACTTTGAGTTTGTGATAACTGGATGAGTTTTGGTCCGAGGCATCCTTGTGCGGAAAATTGATTTTGTATAAATGTTGAGTCTATGTACCCTAGGAAATTATAGGTAAATCTTTAGTCCTTCATCATTGGGATAAAAGTGTTTTATCTAAATATTACATCCTTACATCAAGGGAATTCCATTTTGTATAAATGAAGGGCTGTCCACTTTGGATTGAAGGCCGGAACCTGATAGAGGGTCTGGAAGTAAATCTTGAAAAGTTCTTTTTGGAAATTCTTTGTAGTATAACTAAATTGCTTGAATATCCAGGTGAGCATCACAGACCCTATTGGCCTCTTGTTTATATGAATTCTACCTTAGACATTTTTATCATTACTTGTTAAAATTCTTTAAAACTTCATTCTGTTGTTTTGAACCTCAGACACTTGAAAAACCATGTTGGCAAACAAATATGTATTAAATACAGCATGAAGACAAATGTTGACCAACACTGAATTTTTAAGTTTGGCGTTGAACACTTGGTACAGAGAAACAATAACTGTATGATTTTTAGAGTCAACAATTGGCCAGATTGCTGATTTTCCTATATTTACAACAGCAAGGGCAGACATTATCTCTCTCGTTACTCTTCCTATTTACAAATATTTACACAAATTAACAAAGTTGAGAGTTTATATCCCAGTATACTGGATTTTATATGATTGCATAAAAAGGGTTTGGAGTTGTCATTAACATTGAATCAACTTAAATTTGTTTAATGTCTCCACTTAATTTGTTTAGTCAGGCCTATTTACAGGTCTCTGTATTTCACAATGTGTTCTGAGCCTCAGTATGATATGCATGTGTAGAGAGTTATTGACCACACTGAGGATGAATGTATGTAATGTTTGTACAGACTAGAGTATACAAGGATATTTTGAAAGAATCCAGAAAAGATAAAGCCAAACTTAATTTTTAAACATGTTTGATGTGTTCAGTACCGTTCTGTTTTTATGCCATAAGGATTTATTCTTCCCTATTTCAATTGCTCTTAAATTTTCTCATGAAATGTGAGAATGTATTTCCTATGGGTATGCTTTTGCTTTGAAATCATGTGAGATATTTGTGAAGTCCAGTGCAGGCAGGGACCATTTACATTGTTTATGCTACTGAAGTGTTCATGCCAAGTGTATGTTAGGGTGAGGGTGTCTCTCTCAGCATTCACATGACAGAGGCACACTTGTCAACAGTCAGTGCAAGTGTATTTACATGATGTAGTTATATTAAATGTTCTGTTCATATTGTTCATTTGTTTAACAAAACTTCTATTTTGCTCTTTGTTTTTCTGTTATGTTTACCTTTGAACAGTGGTGTAACAAGTTGTACGATTTGTGGTCATGATCATTTGATCAAAGTCAAGGTCATAAGTCAAATTATCAACTGAATTGTGCATGTTGCCACAAATGAATAGTTTCACCTTTTACAATTCTTGTAATAAAAGTCAATTAGTGTAAATTGTAGAAATGATAGTACATACAACACAATTTAAGTAAGATTAAAAGGAAGCATGCTGCCTGAAGTCTGAGACTGTAAGGTAGCATACCGACTTAAGTCAGAGACTGTAAGGTAGATTACCGACTTAAGCCTGAGACTGTAAGGTAGCATGCTGACTTAAGTTTGAGACTGTAAGGTAGCATACCAACTTAAGTCTGAGACTGTAAGGTAGCATACTGACTTTAAGGTAGCATGCCGACTTAAGTCTGAGACTATAAGGTAGCATTTCGACTTAAGTCTGAGACTGAAAGGTAGCATACTGACTTAAGTCTGGGACTGTAAGGTAGCATACTGACTTAAGTCTTGGACTGTAAGAAGCCTATAATGGTTTTTTGTCATGTTGGATGTATTTTGTGCTGTACCAGACATGGAGTTTACTTCATTTTTAACTTGCCTCTCAAAAGGAGTGGGGAGCTTATTTTGTCACATTAGTGCCAGCTTCAGTGTTGGTTTCTAAATGTTAAGTGGTGAAAGGCATCATTAAATTTCTTTATAAACTCATTTAGTTTGGGGGTAGCTATGTGGCTTCTATTATTTATAGGAGTCAGAATAAATAATTTTTCAGAAAAAAGTCTAGATGGTTTTTTTGGGTTTTTTTTTTTATAGTTTTTATATTATTACATTTTGGACTTCTGACTTTTTTTATGTAAAATCTGAAGTTATAAATGAATTTTAAGAAAAAAGTCAGATTTGTTTTTTCTTCAAACATTTTTGAACCAAATTTTTGAAGACCATATTTCCTGTTTAAATATCAGTATATTGGGATATAGATTCCAGTTGGTGAAACCCCACCCTAATGCTAGTTTTAGTTTAAGCAAAGAACAATATGAGACAGGCTATTGTACCATAGGCACTACTCGTTAATTTTTTTGGTCACTTGGGAAAATATACGGTAGGCTGTCCATCTTTAATTTTAATCAAGTTTTTCTTTAGATCAATGAAAATTTAAACAGTATTTGTATTTGTTTTACATGGATAGGCTTTTTACATGAACTCTAAGGCATGTGAATGTTAAAATACATTGTATATGTTTACATATCTGTTATTACTGTACGTGTTAACTGTTATACAGTCATATTAAATACAAATTAAAAGAAGACTCTTACTTCTGTTTGTTATCACTGAGATTTTAGAACATGTGTTTGGAGTCATCTTGTTTCATGTGTTGTCGTCTACTGTGTGTAAGCTTTTAACATCCTTTGAAGTTACACTTGTAGGATTTAGTTTAAATTTTTTCTAAGATGGTCCCCAACAGATGTTTTTTTTTGGTCGCGGCAAAATCCAAGATTCCTGCCATCTGAATTGAGAGACATTTCAAATTTCTTTAGTTTTAATGATGTCATTGAAATGAAAATTTGTTTAAAAATTAAATTTTTACATTGTTTTTGATGGAAACTTGTTGAAAACAATCAAGACATATGCACTAATAGTTCACTGCCAGTACTGCTATAACAGGTCCAGTGGAATTATTGCTGCAAGAAGATTTGAAGTTTACAGAAAGCAGAAGTAGAGCTACCCCCAAACAACTTCAGGATTTTACAAAAATCTGTGTTGAGAATGTTGATCTGACCAATGAAATATTTTTCAAAGTAAAACAAGAAAATAAAAACAGTGTAGATTTATGAAGTGAAATAAGACTGGTACATATACAGTAACAGTTTATAAAAAAAAACAAAGTACAATGTTATAAATCCTGAGATGTTTTATTTATTTATTTTACTATTAACTGGTAGTTATCACAAACTTTCAGTTGGCACACATTCCAGTTCACAATCGAGCATCCCCACACACAAACGCCCTCCCCCACATTCATGCAAAACATGTTTTCTCTGAATGGCTGTTATTGTCTCCTTTTGCCAAGGACCAACAGTTTTGTATTTTATAAAATCAGCAATGCTGTAGTATTGTATAAGCTTATATCAATTTGATATATCTTTAAAAGTGAGTTGTAAACCCTTCATGTCTTGAATTTGTTTTAATAGGTGGATTTAGATGGGGACTTCAATTCTTTCTCTCATATAATGTTTTCTCTGTCATCTTCCTGACTGGAATTTGTTACTTCTATGCCTTAGTACAGGATACACCACTGGTTCTGAAGAGGGTAACTTTACACTACCTCACTGCTAAATTTGCTATCCGACTATACTAACCAAAGCAATATTCAAGAACACTAGATAGCTGTACTGTATGATATAAACCTTTCATAACTTATTACAGATGTATACATTTCCAAATATGACATTAAATTCTAAATGACGGTGTTGTGGTAAAGCGATTCACCGCCTAAGCTTAATATGCAAGTATTGATCAATGTCTGATATTCTATGTTGGACATGTAGAAACAGACTGAGAATTAAAAAAGTCATATGTATGAGGCAGGATTAATAGGTTCTGACATCAGTTTTAATTTTTTGAGTTCACCATTAAACCTGTTACCAACTCCAGTTAGTTTTTAGTAATCTGCAAACTGGCCATGTTCATAAGTGATCATTTACTCCTCTGAGTTGGTAGTAATCTGGAGGCTGGTCACGTTTACTCTTGAACTCTACCCAGTTGGTAACAAACTGTTGTGATACAGACATTACCTCTATCTTTCACACACTCTCATTCTATAGGCAGGTTACATGATTAAACAACTTTTTCATACATTATGAATATAAATCGTTGATATCTTTATATAAAACACTGACAGTTGCTATTAATCTAAATCAAAATTTTAAAACGAAAAAAAAAATTTTTTTTTAACTGGATTTAAACTTATAGACAATCACAGTTCCAAAATCTTGCAATACTAATTTATACAAACATTAAAACAAAATAACATTTCAACAAGAATTTCTTTTTTCACATTATTCACAAGATGATTCTTTATACAGTTGGTATATCTGTGCACCTGACTAAAACACCACTATAAATGTTTCACGACTCTATAAATCACCTCAGTGTTAGTTTGACAACTTTCTATCTGATATTAATACGTAAAACTTAAACGAGGATGTGTTAACCAGACACAGAAACATAACATCATAAATAACTCTAAAAAAATATTTACCTCTGCATAAGTAAGCTCATTAACAGGCAGACATTAAAGCTGATGAAGCACACTTTAGTCCAGCCTGCAAAAACATACAATACTTACCAAATTCAAAGTGAATTTAGTGGGCTTGATAAGATTTTCATGTTTTTCTGGGTCTTAATTTTTCACTCAATATTTTCTCAAATAGTTCAAAATTGTTTACAGACATACCAATATTTCCCAGAAGGCAGTGCAGGATTGTGCAAAGCATTCTGGGATTATTGCAGCCATACAAATTTAGTATAGATCCCAGTCAATTTACCGCTTACAGTCAAGAAGTCATAACATCAATGTTGCTGCTACCAGAATTTAAAAGTCTGCTTATTAGGCTGGACTTATTAAAAATATATGAGTGTATTTGCAATGTTCTATCAACACGGAAAACAACAACATTCCCTCTTCAATAAAAGTCAACTTCACAAACAAATTAACATGAAAAAATCAAACAGTAGAATTACTGCTGAGACAAATGTACAATTTAAGGATGCCACTTAACACAATGTACAATGTGTGACGATAATGATATACAGGAAAATGATTAATATACAAAACTTCCTACACACAAATATAAAAAGGTTTTGAATATAACTCAAGTTTGTTAGCGTCTCCTCCTGTTCACAATGTGATGTTATAGTGACTCAAACTGAGCCACATGAGAAACAGGGAGTTATTGAGTAATATAATTTAAGTACGATGATTGGCTCATAGTTGGTCACTCAAAAAAGAGTGAAATTGAATGTGATGCCTTGACTCAATGTGTAACTCCTCAGAAAAAGGTGTTGTTTAGTCACTCTATACATTTTTTTTGTACAGGCAAGTTTTGAGTCATTCTGAGAAGAGTAAACAGGCTAAATAAACTTTTTGACAAATAACTCCTCCTTACAGAGTGAGGTAAAATAATTGAAATAGAAAAAGTAATTGTAGTTAATTGCTCCATGTAGATATTTAAGCTGTGGGCTAATACACACCACTTGTGAAGTGTGACGCAGGCACCTGTGGTTGCTGCCAATGCAAGTTAAAATACTGAAATCTAAATTATTACAAATTTTGAAAAAATATAATTGTCAGGTGCCTAAAAATATATGTTTCTGACGGAAATTCAGGCATCTCCCGGTAAAACTAAGCTAGATTGTTTGGTGTGACTTTTGAGTCTATGGCTCAGTGTGAAAGGTCGGATGTATACACAGTTTAAACACTTCAAATACAATCAAAAAGCAACATTAATGTTACATACCAAGGTAATTATAAATGCTACAAGCAAATTTCAATTATATACAAACAATTGTAACAAAGATTTTTTTACAGTGACAATTTACAATACTAGTAATCCATCTTTACATTTAAAATTCCTTTATTATATATAAACTCAGTAATTTTTTTTAAAACACAGCTTGCTACAAAGAGCTTCATAATAAAATACTGACTAATCTCATTACTTCATTAATTAGAACAAAATCCTTAAAAATAACAAATTGATACCATTAGTGCTTGGACACAGATAACCATTTCATTGTGTATAAATTTCAACTTAATTGATATGGATGTATAAAGCAGAAATTTCAAATCTTATATACCAGGTGTATAAACAGGTTCTTCTAGGGATTACAGTATACAAATACCACTTCCCCCAAACGAAATAAAAAAATGAAAAAAAAAAAAAAAAATCCACCCCATCCTTTCACCATTGTCATGCCTCTGAATATCACTGTTTTGTCAGTTGCCATGAATTAATATCTATTTATTAATTATTAACGTCAGACATTATTTTAAAACTTTGACACGGAAGTGGAAGTGGTATATGTCACCTGATCTTCCAAAAAAAGATAGAAACATTTAAACAATCCAACAGATGGGTGTTAATTCATCTAGATACAGCTTTTAAACACAAATCATCAGGTGTATGGAAACAGGAGAGTAAATACAAAGTCAAAGACAACACTGGGGTAGCCCTTTCAGTATCAGTGTCGTGTTTAAAGATAAACACACACATAAATATTGACGTAAATAAAACTTTTTCAACAAAAAAGAAAAATTCAATCTACCAAAACCGAAACTTCATATTGCCATTATCCTATAGATTTGGACTGTGTAGACAGTGATGTGGCATAGATGAAGGACAAGTTCCTGGTGGCATACAAAGTGATTTCTTCAGAGGTCAAAGTGCAGGTTTATATTTCTATCATAACACTCAGCCAATTTAAAACTTGTATTGTCCCCGAAAATATATATCTTTATATCTCCTCTATATGTTAGGGAGTATATAGGCAATTAATTACTGAAATATATAGTTTACAATTAAGTTAAAATGCCTCTGAAATGTTTACATCTAGGTGCTTAAGTTTTATCACTAACAATTCACCTTTAAATTACATTTACCTGACTTTTGAAATTCATTGAACTTAATAAGTCAAACATTTTTACAAATTTACTAAAAATTTGATCATATACAAGCAGGCCATTAAATGTCCCCTCTCCTTTAATCATTATAAAAGCTCCAAACATCAGGTAAACAATTAATGTGTTTCGAAGTTACAAACTCCAACTTTGCTCTAATAAATCTACAATTTAGTATATACATTAAACAGACCAGTTCTATGTTCAACACAAGACAAGGTACCCAAAAGGGCAGCTAAGAAAAGAAAAATCAGTTATGAGCAAAAAGTTTGATTTGCATATCAAATGTAACAGGAGGGACTGGTCACAGCTCAAAGTCAATGTATTGAGGATAAATATTACAATATGAAGTATAATTGTCTCTGTGATAATTCACCATTAACATCCATAGTAACAGTAAATGATATAAAATCTAGAATTTCTAATTAGCTAGCTTCTTGTCCATCTTTGTTCCTCGTCATCCTCTTGGGTCCTCGACTGGCAGGTCCTTTAGGGCGATCAAATGCTTTCTTTACAATATTCTTCATTGGATGTACTTCTTCATAAAGGTTATTCTCAGCAAGTTCTTTTGGGTCATCAACTTCCAACTACAATCATAAATTGTATTCAGTGATTTTTGGGAATCGGAGTCCTGGACTCATAATTTTCTTGTGGGTTCACTCAAATTTTGAAAACCCATTATATCTCTAAGAAATGAGACTCATCAAAATTTTGGAAATGGTGTTCTGGAAACACCTGAAAAATCCTACAAAAACCGCTGTTGTGTACTGTGTTTTCGTGGTTTTTTAATAATAGATTTTGTGGATACTTCAAATTTGCTTATATTTTCATAGGATGCAACTTCTAGGTAAATAACTTAAATGTCACGACTTTCCCTGCCCCACTCCCCCCATCCCCCCTTCCACTTAGTACAGCCAACAGAACTTGTATATCTAAAGATATACTCTGGATTTATCTCGTATTTTTACATTTCCCCATCAACACCTCAGCATCAACAGCAAACTAAGACAAGACATAGGATTCATCTACCAAAGAATTACAATATTGTTTTTGCCTGAAATGGTCAATTAAGTTTTGTGTTATATAAGGCGTGGAGTGAAATAAAATTGTACAACAAAATCATCTGAACTGCTTAAAATTGCTAAAAAGATCACATTTTCATGTTAAACCTTATATCTTACAAAGTGAGGAATATACTGCATAGTTTGTGATATTTACAGTAGATGAAACTTTACTAAATTTAAGGCAATTAAATAAAGCTTGTAATTAAATACACAGGAATTATTTTCAAAGTGAATAAACATCTTGGAAAACGTACATTATTATCCCTGTATTGGAAACAAGGTATAGACGTGTGAAATGTAATATCTGTGAACGTGTCTTGGCTTAGGACGCCCACAAAATATTAGTTCCACGAAATCAAACAACTAAACAACACACATTGACAGTAATTATGTTACATGATGTACTGGGATAAGTTGTGGATACTCACCTTTTTGGCAAATTCAATGCCTCCTTGTCCCTCAAGTAGACCAATAAGTGGAGATTTACAACTAGAATACAGCATACGTTCCTTTATAGAACACTTGTAGCCAGGCATGGAGTATATAAACACTGTAAACAGACAGAGGTCAATAGCTTGTTAAACTAGGAAGACCAACAGAAAATTTTGTAAACTGTAACAAGGATTTTCATAACAGCCTTACTTAAAACTGCATTATACGGTGACAATATTAATATATGTAGCGACGATATTTACATGTGTAGTGGCAATATAAAAACATGTGTAGTGATATTTACACATGAGTTGTGACATTGATTTTTTACATGTGTAAAGTTACAGTATAGGAGCAAATATGTGTATCCTCACCGTAACTCTCTGTGTAATCGCCCTCATGTGTGTGTTTGAAGTTAAAGAGATGGTAACGAGCATGATCGTTAGGCACCTGTCCCGCCAAGGCACTGGTGGGAATATCTTCTGCCTTCTCCAGGACAATCTTCTCATCAGTCATGTCCAGGCTCTACAAAGACAATCCATAGAACTGTTGTCAATCACCATACTTAACAATAGATTAATGTTCACTCTAGAAAACTTTTCCTTTTTTGTTACAGAACAGATCTTCTGTAAAGATTCATTTGGTGAAGATGACACAAATATGCCACTTTAATGTATTAAGATGTATCAAGATCTTGTAGAAAAAAGATTTTGGTTTAGGCTTTTTTTCCTCTACGAATTGTTTATAAGTTGATCACAAATTTATATCAAAGATATGAAATGGTGATCAAGTAAAATGACAAATGAGAAAATTCATTGTTTAAGATGGAGAGTCACATGATTTCTACAGAATAATGGCGCCCCTACCAGCTGGACGTATGTGTATTGACCCGCTATAAATCCCTCTATTTTGAGTAAAGCTTCCTCTGTAATAGGGAATGCTACACCCTGCAATGTCTGATGTTTGGTATCCACTCCTGCTGTTTTTATCTAAAAGGAAACAAATATGACTTGATTTCACACATAGAAACAAGAGGCCCACTGGACCTGTACTGATCACCAAATCTGTACAATGTTAAGTGAAGACACCAATGAAAGGTTTTAATATAACAAAATGTTACATGTGAATATATGAAACTCATGGTCTATTGGTCATTCAAAACAGCATGACCTGGGCCTTTTGTAAGTTCTTAAAATATTTTAACACATTTGAACTATGAAAATTGGTTTAGTTCATTCATCTTATAATGCTTCAGACCAAATATCTTGGATGGTGCAAATAATTTATCCCAAGATTTCAATATATCTGATCTATATAACTTTGAACATAGGTCAAGGTCATTAGGTCAAACAAAATATAAACTGATATCCCTTTAGCTGACCATGCTATTGTCCAATATCATAAACACTGGGGTTTTGGTTGTTGAGGACAAGTCATTTGCAGATTTCAAAACTCTTGACACCTTTAACCTTTGACACCTGTGACCTTTCATTTGATTATCCTTAAAGGGTCATTCATCTAAGGATGCTATTGACCTAATATCCTGACTCTAGGTGTTTTGCCTATTGGATAGATATGCTAAAAAAAACAATCCATAAATATATCAAATATACCATATATTTAACAAAAGGCATGAAGACAGACAGAGATCAATGCTGGTCCTCTCCGCTGATTCAAAGAGGTAACTAGAGAGTGTGAATACTATAAAATATATATTGTGTACAGGTACACGTAAGTGTGGGTTTTAAAGAATAAGGAAAAACATGGAATAAGATTTTATCTTTGCCGAACAAGGTTCATTAATGATCTATATAACGTAGCATTTATCTTTATCTTACCTCTGTCCTCTTGATTTCCTCCAGTTCCTCCTCAGCCATGGTAAGTGGGGCAGGAGCATTTTGAGACAGAAGGTGCTTCTTGTAACCAGACAGAGTACAATCGGACTGAAAACCACAAAAGTATGTAAAAAAAAAGCATTAAATACAGTTTCATATAGTCAATAGAGTGAGGTACAAAAATCAATCACTGACAAATCTTCAGTCATTCCCGGTACAGAAGTAACAGAGTCTACTTCACTCATACTTTACTATGTGCTATATTCTAATTTATAAAACATGCTTAAGTAAAACATTGTTACCTCCGCAGTTGCAAATATCTCCTCCTTGATTTGTCCGCCCCCAAAGTTCTGCTTCAGTGTAGCACGTGTAGCAGCATACAACATCTTGTCTCGAACCTGCCCAATAATTAGTGTACAGTCATACACACAGTAAACACAGTGATATAGAAGAGATATAAGAAAGATACTTGGTTCATTTTTGTAAATACTTTGTTATATATATTTATGTGATACTGAAAGCATTATTTCATCACTTCAAGTAAGACTTTCATCTCTGGGATTAAAATTTTACTTTCAGGGGTTTTCGAATTTTCCGAATTCAAGTTTACCGAGTCTTTGTTGAAAGGATGAAAAGAGCATTAATCTAGGATTGAAAAAGTATTTTGAGTAAAGCAGAGTTTTCTGAGTTCGACAGTAGCGTTATAGGCAAGAATATAAAATCCTTTTTAACTGTTTGTTCAAAGTAACAAATTAGAATTAATGCAAATGTAATTAACACAGAACACATTAACAAGAGTTGTATAGTGCACTTGTAAAGTTGATTTGATTTCAAATTTGTCTTAATTTTTAAAGACACAAAATTTAGCTTTTGACGAAAATTGAAATGAAAAAACACTGAAAAACCATTTAGTAAGAGTAAATAAATGAAAAAGTATCTGAATATGAAATATATAGGTATGCTGGTTTTAAATTACCGCAGAAAAGTCTGGAGACCAACTGATGAAGACCCATTCGTAGCCTTGGGCATTTTTGGTGTCGAGACGGTACAGCACATAGCAGGGTTGTTTATCTTCTAAGAAGGGTACCACCATAGCGTCATAATGTAAAGAATGTTAAGGTTTATACCCTATTATGTCACATGATAATCCCACATCTTTGTTGACTTTGTTGACTCATCATACATGGGGCCTGTCAAATGCAATCCAGCGCAACTGAGGTAAAAATATAAAGTGTCTTGCCTTAGACACAACCACAATAAAGCAGGACAATTTCTAGTTTTCTGGAAAAGCACTGGCCAGTCTGAGTTGAGATCATTAAACCACACACCTAGGATCTTCCCTGTGAAGTCCAATACTCTACTGACTCAGCTAGCACATCAAAAAAATTCACTACTTTTTAATATAATATTACTACAAGTACGATTTGAGACGTGACTCTTTAGGAATTTTAGTTTATAATTTTAGTTGATGTCATACCTCAATGTAATCAAAATTTACTAAGAGAAAACGGCAAGTGTTCATTTTTATAAATTTCAGAAATATTACCATCTATTGTAAAATATGTCATGTTTACAAGATCTCGTATTACAAAGGATATCATCTTCCCAGGACTTCAAAGCATCTTTACTTCCTCCCAGTTCTAATTTTTCTGAAAAATATAAAAAAAAAAATAAGTTTCATTTAAATTCATAACAAGATTCACATTTTTATAATGCTATATTGACAGGTAACATTATATAAACCCAAAGTCCTACTACAACTGTTGCCTAGCTATCATCTCAATCCAACCATATGTGGTACTAAGTAATTGAAAGTCAGTTAAGCAATTAAAATATCAAAAAGACTGTTATATAATTCAGGAAAGCATGTTCGCTACTTAAATCAAAATTTAGTTCTGAGTAAAAAATTCTCTAGCGATTATATTTGCATATACAATATGACTGACATTTCCTGATATGCTATTTATCTAGAAATATTGGACACCAATTGTTGACAATTCTTGATCAATCACCATATTATCACTAGCTTGTATGAATTCCAGCCAGATTTATGGAGACATAAAACATTTCTGTATACTCCACTCTACAGTGATTCAAAGATACCTTGATTATATCTAAAATGTTACCATGATATATAAGCATCCATCCACTGCAATATTTAAAGACTAAGAATTCTGAGGGCATTGATCCCACATATATATGTACATGTATTGTCTAGAATATGTGATGTTTTATGAAAGTAAGATAAATCCTTATTATATAACATGTAAACAACACTTAAACCTGTATTCATCCTACAATAGATAAAAATTTTATTGCTTTTTTTGTAATTGAGAAAATCAGACCAAAACATGGATGAATGCCAGTATCATGCTTAATCATATGAACCAACATAGACTAGACCATGCAAGGGAACAGGTCAATTCTCCTACATTACTTTGGTTGTCAATAACTATAAGGAAAATAAATATAGGTATGTGTAACAAATATGAAAATTACCTGGTTACAATAATTAACCCATTAATTATAGGACATAATGAAGATAGAATTACAGATAGATTGCAAGCCTATAGACTGACAGAGACAAATCACAGGCCTATAGACCACAGGCCTATAGACTGACAGAGACAAATCACAGGCCTATAGACTGACAGAGACAAATCACATGCCTAAGGACCACAGGCCTATAGACTGACAGAGACAAATCACAGGCCTATAGACCACAGGCCTATAGACTGACAGAGACAGATCACAGGCCTATAGACCACAGGCCTATAGACTGACAGAGACAGATCACAGGCCTATAGACCACAGGCCTATAGACTGACATAGGCAGACCACAGGTCTACAGACTGACACAGACAGACCACAGGTCTATAAACAGACACAGACAGACTGCAGGCCTATAGACTGACATAGGCAGACCACAGGTCTACTGACTGACACAGACGGACCACAGGTCTATAGACTGAAACAGACAGACCACAGGTCTACAGACTGACACAGACGGACCACAGGTCTACAGACTGAAACAGACAGACCACAGGTCTACAGACTGACATACTGGGATTATTTCATCATAGCTGTATTGACATCATGTATAAGTATTGATCTAATGGAGATGGTTCTCATTGATAAGTACAAATTTTGCTGTAAACTATTGGTAATTTTATTGGATTTAATAGCACTGGAAATGTTAAGGTTGTTGTCAGAAATACCAAATGTAATGAGAATGAATGAATTAAAGCACATTGCCTGGTAGTCTGAGGCATGTAGATACCCAAGTGTTCCAAAAAATAACAGGTTACTATCTGAAATAGTTCATTATTTGCACTTTATTAATGCATATTCACTATAGGAGCAGAAACAGTAACTGTTGCAATACCATAAATGTCATAAAACCAATACATGTAACAGAATTGTACATGTATTAACATACATCAGATTCTCAAATCATATACAGAAAGGAAAATGAATGCCATGGTAATTAAATAGTATCATTGGCAAGATCACAATATAATGGAAGAAATGATAAAAACACAGAGAATTAAAGAAAACAAAATGTTGAATTGTAACCTTCATCTGATTCTGGATCTGTAACGGAAATTTAATACAAAATTTCAATAAAATTTAGGATTCATTACCATTTGCTCTATCACATATATATATAGGATTTCAAAAAAAAATTTTCAATTCATTTGGGATTTTATGAAACATGTCTTAGAAGTTTTTATTTTCTTTTCAAGCCTTAAGAGATCTTATGGGTCATGCTTAAAATATTTAGATTCCCTTTCCATTTTGAACCACTTTTTTATTCCCGTTTAAACTGGTGTAACCATCACACCTGTCTAAATTTGAAAAGAAATCCAAATTTTCTGTCAAATTCATATCAATGAAAAAGGATCCTAGGAATTTCTTTCCAGTATGAATACCCTTTACTCTCTCAGTATTTTTGAATGTATGCCTTAATAGATGTGAATCAACATTGTTTTATATAAAACTTACAATTTACTTAAGTTATATCAGTCAGTAATTAAGTTAGTCCATACACTGGACCCATTATGTGAAAAGGGAATCTTAAGTTAATTAAAACTAGTAGAGCTATTACTTTCTGCTGCCAATTGCAAACTATATTTTACAAATTTTTAGCTTACCATTTTCTATTTTAATTTGAATACACCGGATTTCTCCATCCTTTGCTGTTGCGAAAAAATCTTGCAGTTCTTTAGAAGCTGAAAAAGAAACATATGTTTCAAAGAACTATAAATATCATTGTATTAATCCTGCAAGAAGCTCAGGGACTGGCATATTATATGTTACACAATTTCTCATTCATATTCATGATCAGGTACGCTTATAACAGGACAATGAAATAGTATTTGTTCTTATTTTACACAGCTATATATAGATATGGTGGACTCATCATCATGATGAGTGATGATTCATCAGACATGAACTAATCACTAGGAAATGAAATAAGTTCAGCTTAAAACAATTTCTAGTGATGAAAACCTTCAGATTAAAAATATTCTATATGCAAAAAGGGATATATCAGGAAGATTAAAAAGACTGAATACAAGTCACTCCAGTCTTCTTAAGCTTCTTCGGGAAGGCTTTTGCTTTTTACATCTTGTAACATTAGTAATTTACAGTCAAGGAGATTTCGAATTATCCTTTGAGTTGAAAAGGGTATGTGGGAGGTTCATCCTTACATCTATTAATTTCCAACATAATGATTGATCGTAGATTTTTGTTGAAGTCAATTTTCAATATCCTGTGAAAAGGTCTTTACCGTATCGTTATTTTTTTGTTATTTGTACAGGCCAAATCGAAGCGATGTTCATCCTTCGGATTGTGGGGATGATTTAAAATTCTAAAGCATCCTCTCAAAATTTTCCTGCTCTACTGCGTATAAATCCGTAATAGAACACGGACCCTGCATAACTGACGCAGACTCCTCCCACCCGGCTCACTTGATGAATTTCTATTCTCAAGAGTAATGTTTCATGCCTACTAGACTATTCTATTGAATTGGAAATGCTTAGATATTTATTGGAAAACGCCTTCGTGGTGCGAATTACCTGATATTCCTGTCTGGTGAGACATATTTACAGTTGAAGCCCGGTGACAAGTTGATAGCGATCAAAGGCGGAAGTGAACACAAAGTTTTGTGACCGGAAGTGGGCGATCAAGATGGCAGGATGACAGAAATGTAAAAACTCATTTCATTGGCCAATTACTATATCGAAGAAGATATAGGCCAATCATCTTATTTCTATTATCCACGAATTCGGCATGTGCACCAAAATGGAGGACAGTCGTTTGAAAAACGCATCTTGATAAGCTAATTTCATCAAAGCCCAATTGTTACTCAAAGTGCATCGAAAATGACGGAAACAGTTGTTGCACATAACATTGGCGAGAAAAAGAGAACAAATGATGTTCTCATAAGTGATAACATTGATTTTGCAGGTCTGCTTTTATCTAACCCAGTTCTGCAAGGATTGAAAAGCTCCGGATTTGAAAGGCCATCACCTATACAACTGAAGGCAATCCCTTTAGGAAGATGTGGCTTAGGTGTGTTTGTTTGACATATCTATCGGAAAGGTTATGGTTGTTATAAGGCACATGTCAAAAGCATTTTGCTTAGGAAACCTGTACATAACGTTGTTGTAGTATTAAACGGTGGTTTCGATGTCATAATCCTGATACATCGTCGAGACTTAACATGACATAATCTTGTTGGTTTAGATTGTTTGTAGTATGCATGGTGGTTTTGACGTGTCTTTATTTTTGTTGTTGTGTATTAAAGCCCATCAATATTTAGTGATATTAATGTTTTATATATCATTAGCGCATTAGTTTCGGACCCCTTAAAATAATTTTTTCGCTAGCTACGCTTTGTCGATGAACTGATACAAACAAATACATAAATGAATTGGAATGTGTTCATACTCTGAGAGTTATTTAAAAACTGACTGGGGAAATACCAGTAATATTCTAAAAAAACATCCACAGATACAAGCTCAAATTCGCTCATCTAAAATGACAGACACGTGTATCGGACATGTGACTACACTTCCGTTTTTGATGACATCATTGAATCACAAAGACGCTTTGGTAAGCTTAGTGTGACCCAGAAGTACACATGTATTACATAAAATCAATGTGAACGTGAAGGATATCTGTGTTTGTGTGTGCACCTTTTCTGAAGGGCGAGATTAAAGTTTTTATTGTTTGAACTATTTTTTCTCAAATGAGCCATATTTCTTGGTAGACTTCTTTTTTTCATAACACTATTTGAATGAAGCAGATTTTCACCTACAACTCGCAAGTTAAATTAAAATCGGAAATTAGTTGCCAAAAGTGATAATTTATAAATAATCATGTTTTCATTGTAAGACGTGCAAGTTTGGACCTTAGCCAGAAAATTGTGAGAAGGCATGGTCTGTTATCATGGTCAATTTTTATTCACATGACCGTCTCCAACAAAACATTGGCATCTGAGGATGAATTGATAGGTCATATAATCCTATTTAGTAGGATGTTTGATATGTAAAAATGTGTATTAAAAAAAAAATACACAAATGTGTCAATGCAATGTATACTCCTATTTTATATTGAATGGTTTAAATCACATTTTTTTAATTCTTTCTGGAAGTATGACATGTTACAGCAACCAAAATTATCCAGGTGTAAGGTCAGGAAGGTCAATATCTTGTGTGATATGACTCAACATAATGGCCGTTCCAAAATACATAAGGGCTCGGAACCAATGTCTAGACGATAATGCTTGATACTATGTAGTATGTAAATTTTAGCTATGGATTTATAGGCTGTTAGCCTTCATGCCTCATATTGCTATTAAATGCTATTAAAACAGCACAACATCGAAACAAGTGGCCCAGTGTTATTATATTGTCATTTAGAATAAATGTTAATAATCATTATGATGTTCACTTCTAACAGGCAAAAACATTGACACAACAAACAATTCTCAACAAACTGGAACTGAATATTGCCCCCATGTTCTTTCTTAGGCTGATGCCAGATCAATTTTTTTGTTCTTGTGATCATTATATCACAAAAATTTACAGAATAGGGAAATATCCCCTAAAACAGAGCTAATAAGTGTAGTTTATCAAACATTTATAATTTTTAAATCTTGCCATCAGGAAACAGAAATATCAATGTACGCCTTGTATATCTACCCTATCCCTCTTTAGAATTCTGACCAAAGCATCTGTCTGAAACTTCTCCATTTCTCAAAATGACCAAAAAATACCCTTTTTCAACAACGGGTATAGTAGGGTATATTCCCCAAATTCTAGATTAACCCATATATTTTCTGGAATTGTGTGGTTTTCTTATAGTTTTGTATATTTTTTCCAGATCTAATTGTCCAGGCAAAGTCAGGAACAGGGAAAACTTGTGTGTTTTCTGTTGTTGCTCTGGAGGGCTTGCAAACAGCCAGCTATGCTTTACAGGTATGAGAGATGATATGTACACCTCCTAAAAAACAACAGTTGTAGTGTTGTAGGGGTATCATTTGTGTAGTCCCAGTCAAATACTAACAGTGACATATATGTCCAACTCATTTAAATTGGTAATATAAAGTTCATTTTAAGCTGTTAGTTAATGTATGCATGGTATTAGAAAGTTTGATATGGATTACAAGTTTATGTTGTTGCATATTACAAGTGTATAATGTTGCTGCTGTACTGTATCTGTAGAATATCTGTCTTTATGATGAACGTTATATCCCTAACAGGTGTTGGTGCTAGCTCCTACCAGGGAGATTGCCATTCAGATCTGGGAGGTGATCCGAGGCATTGGCCGAAACGTATCACACCTCTCTTGTCAAACATTTATCGGTGGTATGCCACTTCAAGAAGATCGACAGAAACTGAAAAAGTGTCACATTGCTGTTGGAACACCAGGTTCATATTTACTCTGAAATTGTCTCACAAAAAGCAGTACTTACACTGTTAAATGACCTGAACATATTTGCCGATTCTAAATATCATAAGATATATTTTTCCAGAACAAAACTTTTCCCTATACTATCTACTTTAAATATTCAAAGATTAAGAGTTGGGTGATGTTTGAAAATTGGTAATAGTTTGACTTATGATAATAACTAGCAGAAAAGATGTACTGGGTACATTGTACCACATTTTGTTGGCTTAAGAAAGGTTTCACTCTAGAATTAATATTAAGTGTTATGGTTGACAGGTCGTATCAAACAGCTTATAGAGAATGGGATGATGTCGACAGACAGTATTAGGATGTTTATCTTGGATGAGGCAGATAAATTACTGGAGGAAGGTTTTCAGGAACAAATCAAGTAAGTGCAGTTTAAAGTTTAGCATAAAATTTCTAATTCAGATGACCCGATTGCCAAATTCTCGTCATTTCATTTTTGGATAACAATACAACTAATTAAGATCAATGGCTCTCAGATATCTGCTAATACAAAAATGATACCTTATCATACATAATAGAATAAGAAATTTCGAACTTGAAGAGGACAAAAACTTGTATGTTGAATTGCATGTTTTCCTTCCCATACCTGTTAAACCAAAACATGATTGAGTACCGTGGAAAAAAACAGATTTCTAGTTTTGTAATCTTATTTAATCATTTGTTGTATTTTTCTATAAATAGTTGGATTTATTCATCCTTGCCTGAGAATAAACAGATGCTCGCCTTGTCTGCTACCTATCCAGAGTATTTAGCTCTACATCTAACTGCCTACATGAGAAATCCTACCTTTCTTCGTCTCAACATTTCTGATCCTGCTCTTCTTGGTGAGTGGTAATCATGTGACCTCCACCACATTTGTGATGCTGGACACAGTCTCCAATTTAACAAAAAAAAGGAATCTTTTCAAGTTTGAAATCTGAAAGTATTTTGTAAATAAAGGCAGCAGTGTTAGGTTGGTAACATAAAAGAATGTTCTAAATTTTGTTGAAGTAGCATTGAATTTCCAAATTGCTGAATAAATTAAAAATTATATGAACAAGATTTTCAAAAAGGGAAACATCAAATATGTAGATCATGAAATTATTGGTACATTTTTACATATATTACATTTCCAAGTAATGGCTTAAACTGTTGAGAAAGTGTTATCAATTTTATTTCATTTGGTGATTTAGCAAACTGACTGTAATTTGATTTTGTCCTTCATGTAAAGACAACTTTGCCCTGCTTATTCAAGTCTTAGCTGTAATTGAGTATGTTGTTTGGCGGTGTTGGAAATGTTGTGTAATAGCTGTTTCACCAAATGACAGCCCCACCTGTATACTCCCTTGGGAGTTGAGAAAGATTATGGCTGATAGCATAAGGCTTGATTATGATTTATGATTTGCATAGAGATACTTAGGTTGCTGTGATAAAAACAGTGTATAAAAACATTCACTTACTTGAAAGTTTTGGTTTCCAGGAATAAATCAGTATTTCCGGTCTGTGCCGTACCATCCCATGCCTCACAAACAATTCGAGAACAAAACCAAGGTTGTCACTGAGATACTGTCTTCTGTGAATTTCCAGCAATGTTTGATCTTCTCAAATCTGCAGACAAGGTAAACTGTGTTCTGGAATATTGTTGATGCTGCAAAATTTTTTTAATTAACTTTTCCAAGAAGATTTATCAGTTGTGTCAAATTAGTTCTGTCTTTTTTTATTAAAAATTGTTTCATCTACATGTGTTTACCGTCAATACAACTTTCAAACTTTATCATTGTCTGACCTTTGTTGTTAGGTTTTCCTGAATTAAACTAAATATTGTAAATTAGTTTTTCTTATTATTATTAATCCATTATGTACTGGAAAGCTATTTAATATTTACCAGTAAATCAGTGGACCAAGAACAGCAACTAACAGATTGATACTCTTTTTGTTTTACAGAGCTCAGAACATGGCTGACAGCTTGACCAGTCTTGGATGGCCAACGGCTTGTATTGCAGGATGCTTGGACCAAAAAGACCGCAACGAGGCCATGAGTAAATTGAAGACGTACAAGTGTAGGGTTCTCATCTCTACAGATCTGGTAGGTGATACAGTACATTTTTTCATTAATTTTGATACCCTGAATATATTTAGTAAATTTTGAAACTCTTGTCTCTGTCCATCACATATATAATGAATGTATGTTTTCCTCCTCAGACATCCAGAGGAATCGATGCAGACAAAGTGGATTTGGTGATCAACCTTGACATTCCCAAAGACCATGAGACTTACCTGCACAGGATTGGGAGGGCAGGGCGGTTTGGTAGGAGCTGAAATTACATTGTCATATAAAAAATATCACAAATTCTACCCTGTACAACAAGTGCTAGTTACAAACATTAGGACCTATAGTCATACAGATATCATGTAATGTTACAAAATATTGGACATAGGACAAAAAAATTGTTGAATGTGTAGCTTGATCAGAAAGGAAGCACTGTTATGTCATGTTTTATGTCTTTTAAAGTAAGTCTTAGATTTAATGTTAATTAACTGTCAATTACATAAAAATTTCAACTTCTTTGAGACATTGAAATGTTTCTTGGTTCTTGTGTTCATAGGTACAGTGTCTAATAAGAGAATGCGACAGTTTTTAATTTCATGCATCAAGTATGATACATATAGTGCCATTTGTAGGCATTGTGTTCTTGATACAGTAGACCCAAACCACTTAGGATGTTAAATTCACTGTGTTTTGGAGTGAAAATTTGCCAATATCTCATTTTATATGTTAATGTAATGAAACACCAAGTATTGATTTTTCAATTTACCACAATGTTAAACAAGTAATCTAGAAAAGAATGTTTGATACAATAACGATGTTAAATATCATAGGTATTATGGTGTTTTTTACAAAACAGACTATTTAGATAGTTTTTGTTCATATTATAGGAACATTTGGTGCTGCTGTAACCATCATCAGCCAGGGACAGGAAGAGCTTGACCTTCAGTCTGTAGAGGGCAGATGTAACACTCACATCTCACCACTACCTTGTAGGTTTACTCAGCAGGGCCATTTTTTTTTCATTGGTTTGCCCAGTAAGACCAGGGTTTTCATTTATGATTCCTGTCTGTAATGTCGCATTTTAAATGTTGATAGACTGGTTTGTCTGCATAAAGGAAAGCAACCCAGTATACCAAAGACTAAGGTGAAATGTTTTAACAACATATTGTATTGTTATTATAATACTATTATCAAATAGGCATCTGTGTACTCTCAATAAATAGGTTTGATAATTCTATGTGGATAACTGAGTTAGTAGTGTCGCATGACAAAGTACTCAGCTTTCCTCAACAACACCAACTTTCATATTTTCCACTTATAGCAACCACTTTTTCCCCCATGATAGATCTGTGACCATAACTCCCATTTATTCACCTGTCTCACAGTCCTGTTCCCTTTGTTTAAATGGCTATGTTCCCTACGCTACCTTGTAGATTATTATAACCTTTGTTTCATTTGATGTTTTAAAGTTTATACCAGAATACCATTTTTATACCTTGACATTTCAACTCATTTTTATAAGAGAGTTTTTATAACATACCTAATATTAAAGTTCATGGTTGGCCGGTTACTCAAATGGAAGACTGGCTATGTATATTACATCAGTGTTGTTATTGTAGCCAATAGTTAACTTTGATGAAGCAAAGCTATCAGCAAAGTGTTATTTACATGGCCCAAAGACGAAGGCAGAGTTATAAGTTACCATCCTTGTATACTGGTACTCACTTTAAAAAGATTAGGCATGAAATATGTTACATAAAAGTATTTAGTTATAGAAAACAAGTTCCCAGAGTTATCATATTTATCTGATAATCTGATCATGTCTCATAATTAAACACGTTTATAATGCTGTCCAGTAAAACCACAAAACATTATGATATTCTTTTTATATCATTGTCTTATAATAAGCCCACTCCCTGACTTTGAAGCAGAGATGATATGTTGACCCACTCTATTATCACCTTTTGTTTTGCAAACTTTCAGGGTTGGATGTTTGTTGAATTTGATCTAAATTAGTAAGAAATCTTTACTGATATTTGACTGCTTTCACAAACACAATTATGATGTACATGTATTTGTTTTGTCTATAGATCCAATACCAGAAGACCTTCCGAAGTCAGAATGTAAGATTACTATCGATGATGTGGTTTCATCCAAACAGATCATCACTTCACCAAAAAAAGGAAACACCTTCCTCCAAAAGAAAACTAATAATAGACGTAACAAAAATAAACAAGATAAAGACTCATCGTTTGAAAAGAAAACAAAGGAAAAAACCTGGCAGCAGGTTGAGTCTGAGGAGACTGATGGTGCTATGTTGACTTCTGAAGTGACTGATGGTGCTATGTTGACTTCTGAGGAGACTGATGGTGCTATGTTGACTTCTGAGGAGACTGATGGTGCTATGTTGACTTCTGAAGTGACTGATGGTGCTATGTTGACTTCTGAGGAGACTGATGGTGCTATGTTGACTTCTGAAGTGACAGATGGTTCTCAGTTGAATTCCGATAACCTCAGTGGTGACTCTAGTTTACAAAATGGGGTCACCAGTATTGATCCTATGGAAACAGTAAATGATACTGAATCTGATCTAAATATAGCAAGGAGTACTGAGACAGTTCCAAACAGTACAGAGAAGATTGGTGACAATTCTGAAAAACAAAAAGTACATGACACAGCTCTTACAAAGCATGAAAAAGAGTCTGTTGATGTTAAAACACAAAATCAGAATTTGAAAAACTTTGTTGTTGAAAACAGTAATCAGAATTCCATATCTGTGTCAGCAAATGGAAACAGTATGGTTTGTACTAATGTTCGTCCTCAGATTCCGTCTTTCAAACATTCTGTTGATTATAATCCTGTTTCTAATCCTCACACCTATGAGAGTGCTAAATTAGACTTGGAGGTTTACAAGAATAGCCTTGGTAATGACAAGACAGCTGGTGCCTACAATAGACAATTCAAGGTCAAGGTTGCTTCCACTGCCCATCATTCCGTTGATCCAACTGTCAAACAGGATTTACTTAAGAAAATATCACTTGTTCTTCATAATCCTGAAAGTAACCCCTTGAGAGTGTCTGAAAGAGTTATGACTGCTGATGTAACAGACAGTGTGACAGATAAGGAACTTACAATGAAACCTTTGTCGGTATTAATTTATAATAATGAAAGAGAGAAACAGAACTCATCCCATGATAAAGATGAAAAGCAATGTGACTCTGGTTTGTTAACATTTAAACAAGTGAAGGAAACAAGCCATCAAACACCAGGGGCTGTCAGGGACAGTAATACAGTTCAAAAACAATTTGTCCAGGACAGTGATACAGTTCGGAAACAAGTCCAGGGCAGTAATACAGCTCGGAAACAAGTCCAAGAGAGTAATACAGCTCGGAAACCAGTCCAGGAGAGTAATACAGCTCGGAAACCAGTCCAGGGCAGTAATACAGCTCGGAAACAAGTCCAAGAGAGTAATACAGCTCGGAAACCAGTCCAGGAGAGTAATACAGCTCGGAAACCAGTCCAGAACAGTTATACAGTCCAGAACTCTGTTAAAGACAGCAATTCACTCTGGAAAAGACCTGGCTTAGAAAGTGATACATCCAGGAAACAACATGACCAGGGCAGAAGCACAGCTGGAGATCATGCATCAACTAGATCATCTGTCTCGGGATCTATATCTGAAATTCACCCCAATGCTGAACTCTCACAAATCCCTGGTGCACAGCAGGCAAAACAAAACAAAAATAAAAATCAGGAGAAAAAGTCAGTAATTTGTAAAACCAAGTCACCTGACAAAGCAACTTATAAAAGTAAATCTTCTGTTACCAGGACAACCAGTGAATCATGTGACATTCCAGCTGTCGGTAGCCAAGAGCCCTCCCTAGCATTAATGACTGCCATTGCTAATGTTATGAAAAATTTGTTGATTCATGAGAAGTGTAACGATGAACAACTGGAGGAGAAAGTTTTGAAATTTTTGAAAAAATCCTTACAGGCTGACAGGATGAAAAATGATGTCAGAGAGGTGAAGGAAGAGTCCGATATATCGGAGACTGATTCATCGTCTGATAGTGAATCTTCTGGAGAGGAATCCGATGACGAGAGGACACAGGTCGAAGAGGATGGCCCGTTAGAAGATCATCATTACCAGAAGTTTCTACAGGGTGAAGGATACAGAAATGAGACAGAGTGGGACGAATGTATAGAACACAGTGACGATGAGGATGAAGATTATACAGAATATGAACCTTATCAAGGAAATCCTAAAGTGTCAGAGTTTTCCCCACAATATCCTCACTGGAATACATGGGGATACCCCTATCATGTCTCAGTGCCACCCTGTTACTACCCCTATCCTGTTTACTGGTACTACCCGATGTATGCCAGTTATCTGCCCCTGGAGTACCAGCCTTGGGGCTCCAATACACAGACCAAGCAATACCTACAGACTGTTAGAAACAATCAGGCACAGTACATACATCAAATGCTTCATAAAACATAGCAGTCCCTTTATCTGCGTCTTTTCAGGTTTAGAATATGTACTGATGTTTGTGGTCAAGTCTAAGGACTTTAAAAAATGTGTCCATTGAACTAATAAGGTTCTCAATACTACAGTGTAGACTATGTTTTGTAAACATGAATATGAAATTGTTTTCTTTACTTTTCAACTCTATCAATTATTCATAATTTGTGTTTTACTCTCTGCATCAAATAAAAAAATCCACTATTTTCTATTAAAGTACCTTAGTGACAGATTGAAGAGCTACTAACACGAGCATTCTATTTTTAGTAATCATTTATTCACATTGGTTTCGATCATCCAGTCGATATCAGAATTGTTCCCATTACACTGAATTCATCCTTCCTCGTGGAACTGGGCAGGCAGTGGGTGACAGGGTCCTGATGTCTTGTGCTATGTATTTCTCACATTAATTTTCAATCCTTGCAAAACATGTATGCAAGGGATATTAATTTGGGCTCCTTCCATACGACTGTCTGTCTGAGTGCTTTTCCAGGCTATAACTTCAAAACCGTTCAATTCAACTTCACAAAATTTTAGTGACCTAGTTATGCCTTTTCCACTAAACTCATCAAAACTATCTATATATAATAGGGTAGTGCCCTAGATGTGCCCTTTGCTATTGAAGACATTTCATTTTTTAAATTTTGTTTTCTGTTTCCATGACAACAAAGTAAAAAAAAAAAAAAAACATAGCATTAACTTTTCTTTCCGGGCTAAAACTTTGAAACTGTTCCACTCAAGTAGACATTTTATTAGCCCACCATTACCAGATGTGTTGTCTGTCCGTGAACAATTTTGTTATTGCTATTTCTTGAGAAGTACTGGATGGTTCTTTCTCAAATTGTATATGTTCTCAAATTTCATGTGTATGTGTCCTAGATCCCTAGTTGTGCCTGTTTGATTTTGGTAGTGATCAGAAAAAGGAAATTGGTCACAGGCAGCCATCTTTGCTTTTAATTTTGAAAGTTTGTAAACGTTACTTCTTGAGAAATACGGCATAGATATTTCTCAAATTACATGTATAGGTCCCTCTTTGTCCTTAGTTGCCAGTTTGGAACTTATCAGAAATACAAATTGACTGACAGGCAGCCATCTTTGGTTTTGCCAAGTGAAGATTGTTATCCCTATTCCTTGAGAAATACTGAATAGATCTCTCAAATTTCATATGTATGTTCCCTTTGGTCTCATCTTGTGCCTGCTCGATTTTTGGGACTGATAAAAGGAAACTATAAATGGCTTCCAGGCGACCATCTTTGATTTGGCAGGTAAAGATTATCATCCCTATTTCTGTAGAGGAATGCTGAATTTTCTAAATGTTAAGAGCAAAAACAGAAAAGAAGAGAAATGAGGTAAAAATCAAACTTTCAAACAGCAAATAAAGATCAAACAATGGTGGATGTCAAGATCCCTATGGAATCTTTTGTTATTTATCTATTTATCTATTGCCATCAAATTTTATGATTTCTTGTGACTTCTTGTATTACTCCAGGGCTTATAGAGTGTTGCATAAATTTGTCCATGGACAATACCAAACTCTATCCACATATCAACAGTCAAACAGACAGGATCTACATCAAGATATAAATTCTTACTATAAGGTTGATATATGAAATATATAAATATATAAAATTGCAGTTGAGGAGACGCAAGGAAATTTAATTGATAACTGACAAATGAAGACTTTACATTTTGCACAGACACTTTCACTGTATTAGATCTTCAATTGATAGTAGCAGTAAATAATTGATTGACAACACAAATTGTTATATTAGTATGCATATTATATTTGGGTTTTACACCAACAGCTAGATGAGAGGAATAATGCCACACTTTGATCGTATTTAATTTTTGGAAGTCACAAGAGACATAATTGAGCATAAAATTTGGTGAAATACAATTTTCTTTTGTCAAAATTGTTTAATAATGATTGTTAATATTGAAAGCTCAATCATTGTACTCAATTCTTTTTAATTACTTTATTTTCATTGTTTGTCAGTAGCCACAGCTAGGAGTAAACAGTAAAATATTTCAGCACAACATATTTCATGTAACAGTAAATCAGGCGTGAAGATACATACAATATTCTGGTTTACCATTCCACTTTGTAAGTCTAGACTATCTTAAGAAGGATTTATATCAGGATTTAGTTTCAATTGTGAGTAATGTTTGTGTAATTGCTTGTTATTGTGATATGTAACACCTATCATTGTGAGGTGTCCTGCAAGGCTTGTTATGTAACACAATAAAAATACAGTTGAATTTTATAACTGATTAAATTATTGGTCTGAATTTATGCATGTTAATGCAAGTTAAATACATTAAATAAATGAAATAAAATTGTGTGTCTTGTTATATATTTATTTCACAAATATCACCATTGAAAACTCTATTTAACAAGATGAAATGTCTTCCTCTTTCTGCATCTTCATCAGTGAAAACATACTAGTATAAACAATCAGTGCTTATCTAGGTCACTCAAGCATATTTTTTATTCCATGATTTTACATTCACAAATTAATTCAAGTCAGTTGATAAGTCAACATAAATTTATTAAATGTGTGTGCCTTATACTCTTAGGAAAGTGGTGAGAAGAACTCGAGAACAGATTCTACAATATCACTATAACCTGTTTGCATACAAAATCATAGTGCTGTGACTATATAGAAGTCCCAGTTGGCAATCATACAGATATACTTCAACTAACAGAAAGGGGGAGGGTAATAAATATTTTTCAGATGAGACAATCAAACTGACTTTTTGTTCTGAATTCTCTTGTTTTATTCAACTGGCTGCAACATTTATCTCCTTTATCAATCTAGCACTCCTCTCAATCTCCCAATCATAGCACTCCTCTCAATCTCCCAATCATAGCACTCCTCTCAATCTCCCAATCATAGCACTCCTCTCAATCTCCCAATCATAGCACTCCTCTCAATCTCCCAATCATAGCACTCCTCTCAATCTCCCAATCATAGCACTCCTCTCAATCTCCCAATCATAGCACTCCTCTCAATCTCCCAATCATAGCACTCCTGTCAATCTCCCAATCAAAGCACTCCTGTCAATCTCCCATTCATAGTAATCCCCTCAATCTCCCAATCATAGCACTCCTGTCAATCTCCCAATCATAGCACTCCTGTCAATCTCCCAATCAAAGCACTCCTGTCAATTTCCCAATCATAGCACTCCTGTCAATCTCCCTATCATAGCACTCCTCTCAATCTCCCAATCATAGCACTCCTGTCAATCTCCTAAGCATAAGACCTCTCTCAATTGCACAATTAAAGGACCTTTCCCAATTTCACAATCAAAAGGTCCACTCAATCTTAATTATTGCACAATCAAAAGATCCTCTCACAATCGTAGGACTCTTAATTCACAACCTGTTTTGAGATCACTCCATTCTTAACGCGGAAAATTTGGATCATAGTAATTACACTTTGTCTTCTTCATGGATCATGGATACAAGCTATGCATGGTGTAATAATCGTGATCTCCATCACTTCCAACAGGGTACCACATTAGGATCATTGTCGATCTTCTCATCCAACACCTGGTAAGTGATACCTGTAACATAGCAGTGTCTAAAATTATCCACAGGTTTAGCAAAGAGTGTTGCTAACATGTTAGTCTAACTGGAGTTCATTAATTCATATTGTAATTTTTCAGTAATTATGGGTCAAAAGAGCTGAAAATATTGTCATCAGATGCTTTCCCTAGGTATAACCTTAAGTTGTACATTGAAATGTTTCAATTAGATAAAGTAATGGATTCACATCAACAGAAATATATTTCTCACATACAGTTTGCCTTTCAAAGATTAACCCTTATTTTCAGTACACCAGGAACTATGGTCATCAGAGGCTTCACTAAGCATAACCTTAAATTTGTACATTGAAATGTTTCAATTACATAAGGTAATGGATTCACATCTCCTTAAGATCCAAAAATATATTTCTCGCATACAGCTTCGCCTTTCAAAGAGTAACCCTGGTTTTCAGTAACCTAGACACTGAAATATGGTCAACAGAGGCTTTGTCCTGAGATAATACCAAACTTGTTAATATTCAACAATTACATAAAGTTCTAAACATGTCGAAATAGATAAATCATCCTACCTAGTTTAGTACATATTTCATCATAACTGTGTAACCCTGTACAGAGACTGTACAACCCCTGGAGCTTGCTGCTTGTTACAACAGGTTCAGCTTCTGATGGCATGTATACTGGAAACTTATGTAGTCTTCGTATGAATCCTTTGATCAGTCCAAATTGGATCAGTTTTCTGTGATTAGAAGCATTGAATAAAGCACAAATGCACCCGAGAGACTCCTGTCAAATTATTTAAAAGCATGAAAATAAAGAAATTCCATTCAAATACCACATATATTTAAAGTGAAGTAATTTAAGTAAAGTCAGCCCTGCGTTTAAGTCTACACCTAACAATTCCCACAAGATCAAAGTTTGTACAGGTGACAGATTAAGAATTCACTTACTTTTCATCAATTTTCATGGCATGAGGGTTGTACCTACAGCAAATATCCTTTACAGTAGTTCCTACAGTCAAGCCAGAGTACAGCAGGAAGACATCACGAAAGTTTGGAAAATCACCAGCTAAACCAACAGCAAATCAATATTACAGACTTACAGGCTGGTAGTTCTACAATGGTATATACTACATTACAAATAGATCTGTGATTTGATTTCAAATCCTTGAATTAGACAAGTACTAAGGGTACTAACATGCTACATAACCTGTTATACTTTTCTTTAGTGTTAAAGTAATCTTCCTTAGAATAAGTTGTCATCAATCATTGAGATTTTGGGTTGGGGTTTTCTTTGTACCTTTCAAATTTGCCTTTATTTGATTCATCTTGATTACAGTTGATAATATTTAACAGGTTTCCTTGTTTGTAACTTTTATAGAAAGGGAGATAATGTAACATTTATCACAAAAGCCAGTAGAAATATACCTTTTCGAGCCACAAAACGGACACATTCCTCCTGAAGCAATCGGTCTTCAACCAGCTTTGGAATCTGGGGTGTGACTGTATACATGTTGGAGTACTGCAACATTCATACATGTCTTAGATACATATAACCCTTAGGTACATACAAGTCTTAGATACATACAACCCTTAGGTACATACAGGTATTAGATACACACAACTCTTAGGTACATACAGGTATTAGATACATACAACTCTTAGGTACATACAGGTATTAGATACATACAACTCTTCGGTACATACAAGTATTAGATACATACAACTCTTAGGTACATACAAGTATTAGATACATATAACTCTTAGGTACATACAGGTATCAGATACATACAATTCTCAGGTACATACAGGTATTAGATACATATAACTCTTAGGTACATACAGGTATTAGACAGATTTATGCAAATACTGTTTACAGTAAATGCTGCATAAAGGTTTGAAACAACTAGAAGCAGCTACATATGAGGATCAGGCAGGTACATACAGGTATTGGACAGGTACTCACAGGTATGGGACACATACAGGTATTTCACAGGTACAAACAGTGTAAGACAGTTATATACAGGTAATAAACAGCTACATACAGATATTAGATAGGCACATACAAGTTTTAGACATGTATATACATGTACTAGACAGATTCTTATAGGTATGAGATACAGGTAAAAAATAGGCACATACACATACAGGTATTATACAGTTACATACAGGTATCAGACAGGTATATACAGATATTAGATAGGCACATACAAGTTTAAGACAGGGATATATATGTACTGGACAGATTCTTACAGATATGAGATAGGTACATACAGGTATAAAATAGGCACATACACATACAGGTATTATACAGCTACATACAGGTATCAGACAGGTATATACAGGCATCAGATAGCTACATTCATGTATTAGACAACTGTATACAGGTACTAAACAGGTGAACACAAGTACAGTACACCTTACATGTACTTTCCAAAGCACTTTGCTTACATGAATTATGCCAGCTAGTCATCTCTGCATATGTACCAATGTTAGCACATTTTCCTATCTTAGCAAGGAACAAATTTGACTGAACATTAAACAAGAGGGTCACAACGCAACTCTTTGGGGAAAAAATCTAATCAAGTGCAGATCACAGGGTCAGGAATACAGGTATGTGAGTAGATAGAGGTCGTACCTGGAAAATGGAGATGATCTTGATGATCTTGTAATGTCTGAAATATTGAAAGATACACTTCAGTAATCTACAAATTGTTTTCATTCAGAAATTTAAAAGTGCAATGTTGCTAAATATTTCATACAAAAAATACTAAAATAAAATAAAAATTCTGAAGTAGTATTTAACTACTTTCATTTCTTGGACAATATTAATAGGATGAGAGCAAATTTAATGAAGCCCTTTACTTCTTTATGTTTGTTGCTTTTATCCTGATGGCATTCATAACACCATGGGATGACATCTAATACAGCCTATATCTAGCATCTTTTGACAGGGAGAGGCAGCCTCCATTTGTTTACATTACTTGTAATATTCTTATGCCATTGACACTTTATGAATAGGTAATGCACAACAAACCTGATAAGGTTACACCATCACAATATCAAACCATGGTACATATAATGTAATATTTCCCATTGTCAGCATATCTTTCATTTGATAAAGCATACAATAAAAAATGAAATCTTCCCTTGATCAACATAGCCCATCAACAAACATAACTTTGATATTTACATTATCACTATGACAATGACCTTTTAGAGTGATATGACTCATTATCAATGACATGACAGCAGATCACTGGAGTAATACATTCAAGATCTCTTTGTTTATAATGCATTACATCAATGTACATACAATAGGCATTGCCAATTCTGACCCTGTATTTGTCTTCACTTTTCCTGCTGAGATATGCAATACAGCTGTAAGATATTTTTTGAAGGAGGTAATCTTTCTATTCACATGTAACATGTTTTTATAAGTAAGAATGTACGAAACAACAAGAATCTGTTTCTCGATTATAAATAAACTGATACTTACAATAAGTTTTGTAGACACACCTTTACCAAGTTCCTCTCCACATCTGCCTCTGCTGCTATCTTTGATACGTGGTTAAACCCATTGATGTACATCAACACCTGATAACACAAATCATCTCCTATCACTAAAATTTTCTTGACAACAATGGGTAAGCATCAGTAATCAATACTTTTCTGATCATTTCTCTTGCTGTTTCAAAATATATGTAAATTGTTCAGATGAAAATCTAGTGAACACAATTCATTAATTGAAAGAAATAAGAGACTTACCTAATGTGACTGTAAGTGATTTACTTGTTGTTTCAAGTGACTTACCTGTTGTGACAGCTAGGTGACTTTCCTGTTTTGACAAGTGACTTTTCTGTTGTGACAGCTAGGTAACTTTCCTGTTTTACAAGTGACTTACCTGTTGTGACAACTAGGTGACTTTCCTATTTTGAACTGATGTTACTGTAAGTGATTTACTATTGGTAACGAGGACTTTCCTCGTGTGACAGCTCGGTGACTTTCCTGTTGTGACAGCTCGGTGACTTTCCTGTTTTGACCTGATGTTACTGTAAGTGATTTACTATTGGTGACAAGTGACTTTCCTGTTGTGACAACTAGGTGACTTTCCTGTTTTGACCTGATGTTACTGTAAGTGATTTACTATTGGTGACAAGTGACTTTCCTGTTGTGACAACTAGGTGACTTTCCTGTTGTGACAACTAGGTGACTTTCCTGTTGTGACAGCTAGGTGACTTTCCTGTTTTGACCTGATGTTACTGTAAGTGATTTACTATTGGTGACAAGTGACTTTCCTGTTGTGACAGCTAGGTGACTTTTCCTGTTTTGACCTGATGTTACTGTAAGTGATTTACTATTGGTGACAAGTGACTTTCCTGTTGTGACAACTAGGTGACTTTCCTGTTGTGACAGCTAGGTGACTTTCCTCTTGTGACAGCTCGGTGACTTTCCTGTTGTGACAGCTAGGTGACTTTTCCTGTTTTGACCTGATGTTAATGTAAGTGATTTACTATTGGTAACGAGGACTTTCCTCTTGTGACAGCTAGGTAACTTTCCTGTTTTGACAAGTCACTTTTCTGTTGTGACTGCTAGGTAACTTTCCTGTTTTACAAGTGACTTACCTGTTGTGACAACTAGGTGACTTTCCTATTTTGAACTGATGTTACTGTAAGTGATTTACTATTGGTAACAAGGACTTTCCTCTTGTGACAGCTCGGTGACTTTCCTGTTGTGACCTGATGTTACTGTAAGTGATTTACTATTGGTGACAAGTGACTTTCCTGTTGTGACAACTAGGTGACTTTTCTGTTGTGACAATTAGGTGACTTTTCTGTTGTGACAGCTAGGTGACTTTCCTGTTTTGACCTGATGTTACTGTAAGTGATTTACTATTGGTGAAGAGTGACTTTCCTTTTGTAACAACTAGGTGACTTTCCTGTTGTGACAACTAGGTGACATTCCTGTTGTGACAACTAAGTGACTTTCCTGTTGTGACAGCTAGGTGACTTTTCTGTTTTGACAAGTGACTTACCTGTTGAGTAGTGAGATCCAAGGAGGCAAGGTTTAGTGAATTCTTGTCCTTTATAATGATGGGTACATCATGGTCCTGTATATTAGGTGGGTCTTGTATGATGGGAGGAACCTTCAAATGTACTGTGCACGACTCACCTATACAAGTAGACAAAATAATTTGTATCAACTATCAGATGTACAGTACACATAAGTTTCTTGAATAGGTGGAGGAAATAATAGGTAACAACTTCCTGATGTATTGTCCACCAATCACTTGTACAGGTAGACAAAGTGATGTGCAATTAACAACCTTCAGATGTACAATGCTTGTGCAAGCAGGAAAATAACAGATGACTACCTTCAAATAAATTGTGAACGACACACCTGTATAGGTTGACGAAATAACCAGGTTTAATGTAGTTGAATTTGTTTTTACATCTTATGTGCAGTCACAAATGACTTTGTGGTTGACTAGGTTCTTTTACAACAAACACCTGTCATGATTCTGGTATATATATGTATCCATGGTTACTGTGAGAGGTGTCTTGGTTTATCAATGTTCTGTACTTGCTAAAAGCTCTTACCCATTGGTATACTGCAGGTACCATCCTTATTTAGACTGGTCAGCAGTTCTGAAAGGAAAGATGGCAGACGTTCCTTACTGTCATCATCAGACAAGAGTCCATTCTCCATCTGAAATAAAATTCTCATAGTTAGCAGTCTGGACTTATGTACAGTATTGCTAGAAAGGCGAGACATTGTGTAACATAATTTACTTCCCCTTGACTTGTGTTAATAAAATACCTAAGATAAGATGGGAATGTACAAGAGACAGATACCAAGAGCATTCTGAATTACAAATTTGATTATAATGTATAGTGTATAAACAGCACCATACAGTTGCTTAGTCCTTCTTGTGCTCATCACTGATGCTTGAGGTCAAAAGTATGGTACTCTAGAAAGAGATCTAATTTAATATATATCAATTTAAACGATATATTACACTGCGTTAACCTACAAATAACAAGTTAGGAGGTAAATCATGTGATGTTCTGAAACTACGACTGCCTATTGCAGAAGGCACTAATTTTCCTATCTGCAACACTATTAGACCAAAGTCCCCCAAAAAAAGCCAATAATGGGAAAAAGCCCTTTAATCCAATAAAGAAAGACTTTTCTTCTAGATTACAAAATTCAGAAATCAGTTAATGCTCCTGCATATGGCTTACCTCTAGCTGTGTGAGATAGGCAGCCAATTTTTTAACAACAGGTTCATAGTTGGAGGTGTCCATGGCTTTGTCAAACACAAAGCATAAGTTGAAGATGAGAGCATTTCTTGCATATTTGGGGTTGTCTATGACAACAGGGCAACCAAGTATTATATGGTCTAATGCTGTCCTAAAAACAAATACAAAACAGCAGTCCAATGCATGTACATTTTAAAGTCTGACTAAAAATGAATATTAGACCTTAGAAAACTAAAACCATCTTCATTATCTGAAAGTTAGTATTTTAAACTTGATTAAACATCTTCAGACCTGAATAAAGACATTAGGTCATAAATTACCCTTTGTATATTGATTTCAAAGGAAATAATATTACTATTTTCTTGATTCTCTAACCACTATCAATATTAAAACTTGAGGCACAGCAAACTTAATCTCATCATAATCCTGATGATAGAAACATCAAAATAGTAGTGACAACACATCAATCCTATTTTTAGAATATTTCAAAAAGATAGTATCTAGAAGCATCAGGACAAAAATGGAGGATCTTACACAGTGATAAGTCTGCCTTGGAGCTCTGGTTTTGTAATGATGTAGTTATGTATTGAATCAAAACCTTTGCTGCTGATGTAGTCTGTTGGAACCTAAATAAAACAAAGAAAATGTGATGGATAGTTTGTCGGCAACTACATACATAAATGGATATTATGTTGTTATGAAGATGGTGATAAAATAGATTTTAGTTCTAGATTTTCTGATGATCTTATCTTCCATTTTGTGTTTTCATAAAATTGGACTTAAGTACCACACAAATGCAAGCTACATTATGTTCATGTTAATGTAAAACATTTATAATTCCTGGGAATACTATATCCAATCTCATATGAGATCACAACAGACTTGGCGAGCCGAAGAGTTATCCCCCCTAATCACACCAAAGTTAATAAAATGTTATATAATAGCTGTTTTTGGCATGTGGCAACCAAACTAAATATTCTTATGATTCCTTTATGCATAAATACGTCTATGAGTACGAGATTTTTGCATACGCAGTTTACCTTCTTGTTGTAAATGGATATTTAACGTCGTCTAATTGCACAAATACACTAACACAAGGATAAAAAGTCGATACGTGGCCATACAATTTTCTCACAAATCGTCTGTTTTGCATCAGTTCTACAGAAATACATACAATAAAAGTAAATATCCTGCAACAGCGCAGTGCATTTCTGCAGTAAAAAACGAAAGGTCGAGTATGTGGCTAGCAGAAGTTGATAATATTTTTTTGGCCCATAATATTTAGCATTAACAACTGCCTACCTGACAACTTATCTTAGGTCCGGCAACTGGATCAAATTGGCAGAAGATGATTGCGGCTATCTGATTCATTATTCAGCATTTTTTAAGAAATGTTTTTTTAGAATGTTACCCTATGTTTGTCAGCTAGTCGTGAACACAAATGAAGAAAAATTGAAGAGCTACACACCCGGAAGTTCGAGGAATATGTTTTTATTTATATTTATAATTTAAGCTTGAATCACGGCATTCATAACGTCTCCGTGGCGCAATCGGTTAGCGCGTTCGGCTGTTAACCGAAAGGTTGGTGGTTCAAGCCCACCCGGGGACGTAACTTTCTTTTTTTTTTTTCATTTTCCTTCCTCATATCTTCCAGCAATATGACAACACTATGATATGTAACTCACTTATGTATCTCGAAATATTCTATCTGTAATAAATTTGCAAAGGTGATGCTGAAGCTATAACCAGTGCAGGGCAAAGGAAAAGTGGAAACATACATCTGTAGAATGTCGTAAGAAATGGAAATGTTGGTCGCAGTGTGACAATAGAGAGTTCCTCTTATGGGCTTCTGTTTTTTCTTCATCATCATCTTCATCAAAATTGGCATGTATATTTTTAAAAATTAATTTTCAGGATAAGTTAACTATTTCAATGAAAACAAATCAAAATATGGACGTTTAATGTATCAGTCATAAACGTAATCACATGTGATGATAGACCGCGATAAACGATCATTTAGTGTCAATATCCTAATTTATCATGCAATAACATACCATTTTAAAGACAGAATTTTTTACCTAATGTGATATAGTATGAAAAAATGCCATAAAGCCATGCCTGGGTGACACAACTTCCCGATCGCGCCATGTATCATATTTATGTTTGTATAGTAGTGTCCTTGATAACATTTTAGATTTTATTGATTAGAATTATCACGGAATACATCGAAGTCCGTGGAATTACGACTTACATTTATAAATTTTCATAACATTGGCTAGGAAGGGTAAAATTACATTCTCTAGTCAGTGCCGGCTCAGGATACATATTTTTTGAGAAACAGATAAATTTTGAAAATTCTGAAAACGGTGGGAATTTCAAAACGAATGTTTCTTTTTTTTCTCAGTGGTTGTGATGTGATTGAATTGGTTGATAGGACTTACATGGAGGAAAGCCAAGAACACTAGAAATCATCTGCTCTGCTAAAATGTACTTCTCTTTGTAAAGTAATTGGTGTTTTTCCCTTTGTCCACCTTAACACTTTCTCAATGATACATAGATTATTGTACACAAGCATGAGGTCGTCCATTCGCAACACGTGCGTGTGCGTTTATTTATGTTATGAATGATATATCATAAGTTAATTAAGTTCTTATTCGTTCCATTGTTTAAGAACTGAGTTGATTTTAATTATTTTTGTTTCTAAAGTAAATTGTAAACTGTTCATAGACCATTGTTCCCTTTCTAAAAAAGAATTTTGAAAAATCCTGAAAGAATTTAATTTTTCGCGCCATCTGTCAGTTTACAGGTGCTTGATCACGTGACCGAGTTACTATAGCCATGTCGAGGTTAGTTTGTTGTTTACAACATGGCGGATGCCAGGCGGCAAGAATAAACAAGACTCGAATGGACCGGGTTTTCTTCTGATAACACAGTCATACAAGTAAGTTACCCTTGATATAATTCTGATTTATCAATCTGCCTCTGACGGTTGTAATTTATGTTGGTTTGATGATGTGGACGTGTTTACGATAGTTACCTGTTCAGGTAACAGACGAAAATATGAAAGCATGGATATCGGCAAACGTATGCCGGGAGATTACATGGTGTTAGCATTATGGCTTACATCACGCCATTGTGTTGGGTGTTTACTTATCGAAAGCTTAACCTTTTAAAATTCTAATCGATAGTCATATTCATTACCTGTACATGCGATAAACATTTAATTTCGAACCATTATGACAATAGAACATGAAAAAATACACTGTTCAAATTTTGTAATGTGTGTACATTAGGAATAGACATTCCACAAAATGAATATTGTTAATGTGATTCAGTTTCACACTTATTGATGAATTATAAACATGCACATGTGACGGTAATTGTGACAAATATAATAACAACATTGATTTGTTCGTCCATTACAAGTATTAAACTACAAGTGGGCATTTAGGACAAAAATCAACGCTTCAATATTTCAGGACGTGTATAAAAAAGAGGGAGAGGAGTGTGGTGTAAAAGAGACATAAATAGTGATCTTAAGAAGCATTTCATCAATATCTGTTCCCACAAAATCTTTAATTTTCTACCACAGACTAATACCACAGTATACTCTATGACTGTAGTTTCACCAAAGTGCAACAGTTTTGACAGGTGAACCTTAATGTTATAAATCATGTTATGTATTGTCAGAGAATATTTGCAACAGTTTAGTAACATAACAGACCATATGATACAGTGGTGTATGGTCACAATTTTGTAGAAACAAATATATCTGATTCTGCCTCCTTGTGGTACAATGGAAAATTTGTATTAGAGGAGGCAGAATCAGATATATTTGTTTCTGCAAAATTGTGACCATTAAAATATACATTAAAAAAAAAATTCACAGTAGTTAAAAGCTTAGTATGCCCAGTATGTGTCATTTCTGTGACAAATTAACTAGGAATTTTTCATAAGAAAAGAGGTGTAAGCATAGAGTGTCACATTTTAAACCTACAGATATTTTCTGTCCCAGGTCTGATCAGACATTGCTACTGTTGTCAATGCCTTTATGTTTACATGAATTATGTATGAAGTTTTAGCTTTGCTTTATGTACAGATATAGTACAATGTTGCCCTGTGTTACTCCTTTGTCATATTATTCTGATGTAATCTGGTTGATATTTGTGGAAGTTTTTGTTCATCTATCAGATTTTGGTTAATTATGTAAATGTTGCTGAGAAATTTGATTTTAAATGATCTTAATCCAGACAGAGGTTTATCATAGAGATATCATTCTTCTGAAAATTAATTGAAGTTAAAATTTTGTTCATTGTGTACATATATACAAATTTTTATCTGTCCAATTTTATTTATCAATTCAGATTTTACATTGTCTCAGGATAATATAAGTACATGTGTCTGAAAATTGCTGTTTTCTTTAGGCATGCAGTGCATAATGACAAAGCCATAATGAAGTAGATTCAATTTTCTTTAAAATCAATTTCAAATTTTTGTTCCTCCAGTTTGAGTTACAGGGTAATATTTCACAAGTGTTATCATTTTCTAAATCAAATTCAGGTAACATGTTAAGGTAATTCAATGAAATGAAATCTTTTGAATACTAGACATCTTCCCAGGTAACTTTCTAAGAATGAAACATAATTCAATAATGCAAGTACATGTGTGGATATATATAATATTGTATATATATATATATATACACCTAGTACTACCATTAGTCATGATCAACAGAGTGTTTAGATAGATTGTTTAAATACAAATGTTAAGAGAACACTGGTCCATATTGTGCCAGGGCTTTTAGGTACATTTACTGGTTGTTTAGATATATGTCAACGTCTTTGCATTAAAAAAACAAAGAAATTATTTGTCTTCAACTCTGGTGGGCTTAGTACTAGTGCATCCACTGATAAGTAAAGCTTGGCGAGCTAGACACATGGTCACGCGTCGTTTTAATACAAAATTATGTTCCACTTGATTGGTTGGTGATCAATGTGAGAGCTTTGGAATGTTTAGTTAGACTGTAGACGACAGTTATTGTCAGTGCTAATTAGGTTATGAAACCAACATTTCTTTTGGTTTATCACAAAAACTTTCACATGGTTACTAGATATTCTTTCAAAGGAACATTTATTTATTCATTGAAAACATTAAGTTGTTATGTTTATGTATATTGAGAAACTAATAGTCATCATTTGAAAAAAAATTAACAACCTTGCATTGCAGTTAGTACAGCCCAATTAGAATCATCTGTTGTGTTCACCTTTCATTGCCATATTGTTTACAGGCGTGTCAATAGGCAACATGTCAATTTGGTAAACGACTAATACAATTGTACTACATAATCCTTGGGCATGTCGTACACCTAGTAAATAAATATAACTGCTTAGTCTACCTAAAAATTTCAGATGATGTACAAACGACTGGTCACTTCTGGTTTGATTGTATACACTTATGTATTTATAGCCAACTGGTGTTGCTGTAATGTTTTTTCCTTTTTTTTCTGTGTAGTCTCCCAAATAGTTCTGTGAAATTTCATAAGAAGTACATCATCTTTTCTTTAGCCTGAATTTGTATCAGACAATGAATAACCACATCAGGTCATTTATAGAGATGTATTTGTGTGTGTTTTTTTTTTTGTACACTTGTGTATATATATACACAAATACACAAATGTAAGATTGTTATTCTTAACACAGATACATTTACTGTATTGTCCTGAATTCAATTAGCATGTGTTTCAATGTGCTGTGTGTATTCTATTATTGGTTAGTGAGATCAGTATGTTACCTGCCAAGACTGGGGTAGGGCTAGGCAGTGGCAGAAATGGCAGATATTGGCGTTAATATTTCATGCCCCAGGTAATTAAGTTGAGGTGAGATTCAGCAGTCAAAGGAATAAGTCTTTGTCATCCCTGTGTATCGCATATAGACTAATCCACATCATTTCTGACCGGATCCATTGTTGGGGTTCAGGGGTGGGGAGGAGGCATTCCTCTTATGGAATTGTACTTGATTTGTTGTGTGGATGTTTGTGGTTGTCATGCAGAGAGTTAATTTTGTTACCAATGACTGGTGTGGATTTTAGACATCAAAGAATGATAGTGTAATATTTGTAGTTTGATACTTGTGTACAAGTATAGGCAATGTACAGGAACCTTGGTGAATAATCGTAAATATTTCATAAATAAGGAGACAGGATTGGAGGTTATTTACCTGGCCCTTTGTCTCTTCATTTCCTGAAGATTGACAAAGTTTGGGTATCCCATTAATTCACCTTACCTATCATGGAGCACCCTATTGATACATTGGTAAATGATTGTATTTGTACCATTCTGTGGACCTCAGTCTTCATATATAAGGTAAGAAAAGTAGATGTTAACACTGTGTACATTTGTAGATGTAAATTCCAAGGTA